TGTTTTCCTGGTGCACATTTTGGTAGATTAGATGCTCTGGAGATGGTGGCCATAGCAACATTTTTGGCTTTAAAAAATGAGTTCTCCTTGTGTTGCAAACATTCTCTTTTGAACAGATTTGTACAAAAGCAGCACTCTCATGAATGTTGCAAGTTTAGTCTTCATTTTTCTTTATCCTTTTGCCCTTGTATACTCTGTTGTGATGCACAAAACCTACTACTGTGATGCAGTTACCTTTCAGCATTTCTGCTGAAAGTGTTTCTATTAAGAAAATATTCAAGACTCTGTATAGGCATAATATAAGAAAGTACAATGAGTTCCATTTTCTTCTCTAAACTGAAATGCTCACTGGGACATTGTTTAAGTTCCCATTCTGGATGTTTTTCTTGGCTTAAATAATGCTCATAAAGTAGTCCAGGGAGAATGTTATCAAGACAGAATGGATACAAATAAAACAAGCTAATTCTTGAAATGCTTTGCCCAGATAACTTACTTAATGTGAAACTATCTTAATGTTGAACTGCTTTCCTACCTAAAAATAGTCTTTAATTTCAAATGCTGATAATAAAATATCACAAGGGGGCACCAAAGGTTTTTCTTACAGAACAGAACTCTAGTTTTCCTTCCCTCTTTAACCCACACATTAACTGAATGTTGCAAATGCAAAATATTTTGAATGGCTTAAAGCAGTGGTGGCCATAATTCCTGCCCCCAGGAGCTTCATACCAAAGCCTACAAGAGGAGTGGGCATCTTGGGAAGCAATTCTGATGGTATTACTTCTCTGAGGCCTCCTTTACAAGGTGAAGCTGTGCTGGCCCCACAGCCAGGTACTACGGCAACCAAGCCAATTGTGGAATTACAGACTGGCCTGAACAGTGCCTCCTAGCTCAGTGCCTCTCGCAGCCACAGACTTGGATTATCCAGCGGCTTCTATGCCAGTCTGGAGTACAAAACTTAAGTCTTTCACGCAAGCGTTGCAGTTGAAATTTGTAGTTTCAGGAGGTGCAAGCTCTGGACTTTATTCCCCAAGTAGAGAAAATATATTTGATAATAAAATTCAATATGGTTTTATGAAGTATGAACACTGTACAAGTGCCTCTTCTATCATGATTTTTAAATGACCACAGGAAAAACATTGTATGCATTTTATTCATTAATTTATGTTCTTAAGGCATTAGTAAACAAGAAAGGGAAAACATTAACTTTTTAAAACTCAGATTGGAAAAGTGTAACTGTTCCCATGTAACATATTTGAAACTATGTCAGAATAATGGCATTTTAATTTTAATTTATTTTTAGTCTGCTTAATTAAGACTGGGTGAGAATTTGGTAACTTAAAGCATTCTTTATTTTTCAACTAGATACCCCTGGAGAGCAATAGGTAGTTAGGAAAGCAAAAAACCTACATAAAAAGATGGTTTTTCTGAAGCATTATTGAAATCTTAAGGAGCACTTCTAGTTATCGATTCTCATACAATTCTCAGCACCTGTTCAGTAGACACTGCTGTGTTCTTGAAGTAGAGAAACATTAAATATTTTTCTTTTTTTTTTCCCCTCCTGATTATTTTTTTGCTTGATCAGTCTCCCACTCTATTTCATTATAGACCTTTACAACAGCAAGAGCAATGTAACAAAAATATGGGAACTGGTAGTCAGTGAGATGTTTTGTCTCAAACAGCATTGCTGCTATCCAGATTTGATGATTCAGTAATATTTCACTTGGATAACTAAGCTGGGGAATCCTGGGTTTGGGGACTGCTGTTCATACCTGCTTGATAGCAAGAAAGGGAAGACTTGCATGCGTTTAGTGTTTCTTGTTGGTATTTGACAACTACTGCCAGGAGATGATCTGCTAAAGGATGTTTGACATTATTGGCATATGCTATTGCTATCTGCTGGAGCTTCTTCATTATGCATCTCGCACTGGACCTTTGGGACTGGAACACCAGTTAAGCCATGGTCAAGAAACTGACCTGTCATAAACCAAGCTGTGAGTAACTCCAGAAAAAAAAGTCATGAAATCTACTTGTGCAACTAGAAGTAGGAAGTGGTTGTACACTTGAAAATCTTAAGTTAGGGCAGCCAAAATGTAATACAAACCATGACTCCAGTTTATCTACATGGAAAATAGATAATAGACAGTAACAATGCAATCTTTTGTACAGGGTGCCAAAACTTTGGATATATCCCATGACAGTGAAATCTCTGTGAGAAATAACCGTCACAGTTTCTTCTGATCTGTATCTATGTTTCAGCTGAAAGATATGCTACATTAACTGTAGTAGGGCTGCTAGCAAAAAACTCTCTCTACCTTGCTGTAAACTTATGCACCATGTCAATGTTTTTATCTTGTACATGGTTAGATAGCTGTGGCTCTAGTAATTCTTTCCTGATTTTCATTGTCTTTGTAGAATTACTTTATTTCTAATGCTTTATTTCTTATAATAATTTCTGAATATTTTCTCTATTTCTATTTCTAATAATTTTATTTCATAATCCTGCTAAATAGTTTTTTCAATTAACTGTTAATTCTCCTTTACAAAATTAGGAAAGGTAGTGTGAAATTCTCCTAAAGCTCGAGGAGTTATGCCTTAAGACACTAACAGAAATTTATGAAGAACTCAGATGACTGCAGGTGTATATGCAGGAGGCATACACACTATCTGGCATGTAGGAAGAAGTAAGAGTACAAATGTGTATCACAAATTGCAAAGTGATCCTTCCAAATTCCAATTCATCTTCCAGGTATGTCTCTGTATCCCCCTAATGTTTTTCAAGACCCATATTAAGCAAATGGAAATCAAACCTTATTAAAGCCTTTAAATTTAATAAGACAACTCTACATTGTCCTGATAGAAAAGGATTGTTATAGGAATCCTTGGGCCATTGGCAACATGGACAAATCAAGAAGTATTCTCCAGTGACTATCCAAATAAAGACTTCTGTAGAGGTAAAGCTCTTTGGACTTCCCTCTGAAAGTCTCCTCCAGTTAAAGGTTTCTAATGTAGATAGCCCAAAGCTAAGTCCCATTTCTTCTTTACTGTACTGGAGTAATAGAATTGTTTAGGTTGAAAAAGCTCACTAAGATCATTGAGTCCAGCTGTTAACCTGGCACTGCAAAGTCCGCCCCTAAACCATGTCTCTAAATGCCACATCCACAAGTCCTTCAAATACCTTCAGGGATAGTGACTCAACTACTTCTCTGTGTAGCCTGTTCTAGTGCTTCACAATCCTTCTGGCAAAGAATTTTTTCCTAATAGACAATCTAAAACTCCTCTGGCACAACTTAAGGCCATTTCCTCTTGTCATATGACAGCCTGATACCTGGGAGAAGAGATTGACCCTCAACAAACTACACACAGCCTCCATTTAGGCTCTCTCTCCTATTTTATTTTTAAACACTTGCTTTTAACCTAAACTATTTTTAGGAATATTATTTCTCTCCTTTTCCAATACTTTTGACTGCTCATATTTCCAATAACATCTTCTTCAGGTGTATGCACTAATTTTTTCTGACAGAATTGCATTAAACTGTGCCTGTACACTGGGATTATCAGATTCAACACAGAGGCCGTACCATCATGGCAGGCAGCCTCTGTGTTTTTGTCAAAAGAATAATTTAAGGCATTTAAGGGCCAGCTATCTGACACTGGACTTGTGCTTCTCTCTTGCGATCTGACTCCCACTTTGGCACTTCTGTAGTCAACATTTAAATAGGTTTCCTAGCACCTGTTTTCAGTGCATGTGAATGCAGCTACCAGATGCAAAACTAAAATCTCTGTGGTAATCATCTGAAAAAGAAACTGTAGTAATCTTCAGTTGAAATAATTTTTCTGTAAAAGTATTCAGGTATTAAAGGTATCACAGCAAGAAATGCTCACTTATATTTGAGACAGGGTGTTTTTATGGAAAGTCAACAGCTGTCCCTGAGTATCTCTCTAGAGCTGTATCTGCATTTTTGTTATGAGTATTTGCTACCTTTTGAATGTGTAATTAATTATGTGAAAATTCATGACTTCACTATGACCACCGCCAGGAATGAAGCATCTACAAACTTAAGCGTGCATTTGGATTTAGTAAAGCAATCCAGTTTATGTTTTGTCGGTACCTGAGTCCCAAGGAAGTTTGTTTATCCAGCAAACTGGCCTAGCTTATACGTGTGGTTCTTTGTGAGCAAAGTTGTCTCAGAAATTTTGATTTATTTTGCCTGGATAATATTTTGAAATCCTTACCCTGACAGACAAATGGCTGAAAGCATAAATTCCAGAGATTTGTGGAGGACAGATTAAAATCTTGACTGAAAGTTCAGCTCTCAAAATGATTCTTCATAAAAAAGCAGAGGAGAGAAATGCCAATAGGTATGAAGTGGACCAATTGATGTTTTCCTTCCATTTGTCTTCCAGTGCAGCCTCTTCCTGTGATGGTCTTCTAATAGATCACCATTTTCTAAAATTTCTAACAATTTTAAGCCTAGTTTTAGTGGTTTTTTTTTTTTTTTTTTTGTCTTCTATTTTATGGGTATCTCATTTTCTAGAACTTCCCCATCCTGCCCGGTCATTCATCTTTACTACAGGGTATGATGCTTTTTGGGATAGGTCACAGCTTTGACTATATTTATGAAACATCCTTTAGGCCTGCAGGTCTGCTAAGCTAAATAATAAAAAAATTAAAATAAGAGCATGGAAAGAAAAATGTGAAAAAGGAGGAAAATGAGCTTGATCTTTATATCTCAGCTTCGCTATCTGGTGAACTTTTAACTGGCAATGTAAAATCAGGATTGGAATGCACACACACAAGGTATTTGACCTAAATGTGTGCTGTTAACTAAGATAATTAAAACGTGATGATGACTGCTAATATATTCGCCATGAGAGAGTACAATGTATATTTTAGCTTAATCCTAAATGTAATCTTTGAAGCACATGGAAACAGCACAATGACCTAACAGTTTTATGACAAAATATACTTGATGACAGAAGGATAGGAAAAGAATCTTTTTAAATGTTATTTTTATTAATTGACTCACTTCCAAGCTTCAGTTGTTTCTGAGGTGTCTTGCAGCTTCCACTTCTAATTAAAAAAAAAAAAAAAAGTAATTCATAATGTTTCTGTTGTTTTTTCTTCAAAAGTTACAAGCAATTAGGGAGTATAGGAGAAAATGATACACTGCAGACTATGTTTATACCTACATCAGAAAGAAAGAGGGGCAGGGGGAAAATGAGTGGAATGAACATTAGCTTAAACATTTAAAATCATATTAAGTAATTTGGTTATGAGACAATCCAGAACCATAATACATTGGAGTGCAATTCTTCTACCTGTTGGAAAGGTTTAACTTTGCATTTTATGGGCTGTTATGCATATTTCTCTTACATATAGTAAATTTCTCTTACATTAAGTATACCTATTTGAAATATTTCATAGTGACAATAGAATATGTCTGCATACACAGCACTAGGAAACTCAATGTTAACTTTATGTTTGTCACGTCTTATTGAATAGAGTCGGCATACAGAGAATGTAAGAACAGTTAACACTTCATCAGAATACTGATATTTAAATTGTCCATAGCTAACTTGTCTGAATCTTCATATTTTATTCTTTACCTATATTGAATACGCTCTTCAGATACATATACATATGAAACTTTTGCCTGAAATGTGTATCTTGAAGAACAATTATCCAGCTTATCTTTTAGGTCTTTGGAAATCCTTTTGTCCCCTTAAGGAAGATCCCCTCCCCCACCCCTCCCAACCCAAACCATCCTTAAAAGCTAATCACACAGCTAACAATATTCCATTAAGACAATTAGAAGAAGCATTATTCTGGCATATAGCAACTAGACCAGTGATTGTGTTTGGGCAGGCATCCCCCAGAGTGGGAATGCACATCTGGAGTAGAGAGTGGAAAATATCATGTGTTTCTAGGAGACGAAGCCATTTTCCCTGCTTCTATGGTAACAGATTTGGTGCTTGCTCATTATTAACACTCATCAGCTTCTGGACTTTAAGCTGCAGTCCCCAGGCATGTGCATTTGTTCTGTTTTTACTTACCATGGATTCCACCAAAGTCATGTATGAGTTAAAACTTTTTTTTACAGTTGAGTGCTACAACTGGGTATACTCCTCTGCTCTGTGAAAGGGGGCACAAATGATAGTTTTCTGGGAAGGGCAAGGTCTTAGTGCCTTTTGGGCACTTCCTGAGCCCAGTGATGGATTAGGCTTCTCAAAGGAGCTCTTCATGTACCTTGCATCCATGACATCTTGTCCAGCTGATCCCAGCGGGATTTTTGCCAAGCTACTAAAAGCAGCACCGGTCTGGAAACAAGCAGTGGCAGAGAACCTTTGAGTGAACTTTCATGACAAACAATCCTGAAAGATTTATGCAGTTCTAGGATAAGGTACTTGCTAGGTAGGATGCTTTTCAGATCCCAGTTGTGAAACACCTAAATCCCTCTGAAATCCTCATATAGGACCCTGAATTCATTCTTTGCACACAGCTTTCGCTGACCCCACCAGAAGCGTGACTTTTTCTTACATGCGGGAGCCAAGGCAGAAAGTAACATTCTGGGAGTGTTTAGTTTCATTCTGGCTACAAGAATCCTTAGATTTCTGCTTCTAAGGGACGTCCTTTGGGACAGTCCTCCCCGAGGGAGCACGGGGCCGGGCCGGGCGCCGCCCGCGCTGTGTCTGCAGCGCCATGGCAACGGCGCGGCGGCCACAGGCCCGGCCGGGCCCGGCGGCCCCGGCGCTGCTCCCGCCGCTCCCGGGATCTCCCCGGGCGGGAGCCGCTCCCGCCGCTCCCCGGGACCTCACCGGGGCAGGTTTCATCTGAGAGTGATCCCACGCCGATCTCACCGGGGCAGGCTCGGCCGGGGCGGCTGCGGGTGCCGGGGCAGGATGCGCTCCAAGCGGCTCACCACCGGTACGTCCCCTGGCCTGCGGGGCTGGCTCCGTGGCGCACGGGGCTCGGGCACACGGTGGCGGCCTCAGGCACACAGACGGTGGCACAAAAGAGGAGCATTTGGAACTGACGGGTGTAAACTTGCCCGGCAGAACCCATCACTTTGAAGAAAGAACTTTACTCCCCTCAGAAGGCATCACTAAAGACAGGATATTATCCTAGAATGAATGGGAGTTGATTATTCGGGAACACAATTGTATCTTTTTAATTTTATCACATGATTTGAAATATTTGCTGTCCAAAGCTTTGACAGTCTCATACAAATCTGTATTTTCACCAAGCTTCTAGTTATCAGTTTTGCAGAGGACAGCTGACATGAAGTAAACTGATAGGTATAAGAAATAATATATTTTTTAAATACTTGATTTATATTTAAATAATTATTGTGATAGTTAATCTTTGTGCGGGTCAACATTACAGCATATTCTTAGTTTATTTTATTTCTTCAGACCAAGTTATTTTATTTTGGAATACCCAGGAGGGTTGTCATACCTCACTACTTTTTGTTGTATTGTAGTTGAACCAGATTAACTGTACTTCTTGGATGACATATGATATTTATTATCTTCTTTTCAGAACCTCCGTGTGTAACAGAAGAAATGTTAGTAAGTATGCTTATAAAGCTTGGTCATTATTTTCATCATACAGTTATGGAGCCAAAAAAGAAAAAAAAAACAACATTTTGGAAACCACTGTCTGTTTTCTCATTTCTTTTTTGTAAGTATAGATTACTGAGCAGTTACTTAAAATTTTGTAGATAAAATACTTAGTTTGAAAATAATTAGATAAAAACATAACAGGAAGCTATGGAGAATAAAGATGGAAATGAAAGTGTATTAGGATGAAGCCATAGGATGAAGGAAAGCCATTAGGATGAAGGAAACAAACAACTGAAAGATTCAACACGACAGGTTTAACAATCTCCTTACTTTACCTTTTTTGCTTTTTGCTCATAGCTCATTGTAGTATTTCACTGATGTTTTTCTTCTTGTTTGAGAGGTATATATGTTTTTCTGTTACCTCATAAGAAATGACATGTTTACTGCTGCAGCTCAGGTGATGTTTGCCTATTCCCTGCTTTAGATGCCTTTGTAACTTAGTGCCTTTTGGGCACTTACTGTGTATTTTAAAGTATAAATGTGTTGATATTGCTTTTGGGAATCTCTAGGTACTGTTTTATTTATAGTGTTTATTACCATAGACAGAACCAACAAAAGCGCAAGTTTTGGACCAATTTAGAACACCTTAGCCTTCAGTTGCAATTGTAAGGCTTTTTCTAGTCATAATTTAGACTGTGCTGCAGGAGAAATGACATGGAAAGAAATGAAACCAAATGCTTTCTGGCACAAAAATCTAATCTGTAGTATTGTACATGCAACTCCCTAACCTATAATGTGCACATAAGAAAGTGCAACTGACTTCAAACAATAATAAGGCTGTCTGCAAAATCTGTCCAAAAACCAGAGGAAAGTATATAATATGTAGATGCAGTAAGTAATAATGCACACATTAATAAAATCATAAGCATTTTATCTATTAATCAACCACTGTGTTTACATTTCTTGCTGTTTTATGGGGCTACAGAGAATTATGTCCTTGGGAAATTAAAAACATGTTACCTGCATATTCCTAAAGAGCTTATACTTCAGCCAGTAAGAAATTAATTTGTTTTAATAAGTCATATGAAACAATAAAATATTTTCACCATGTATTATCTCGAGATTCATTCTTGTCAGTGTCAAACCAAACATGAGGCTGACTATAGCTTGTTTCTAATTAATTTTCCTAATTGTGTTAACACTTGCAGAATTGATGTTTCTGGATTTGATTGCCTATTGACATTAGTAAGAGGATTGTCTGTTGATTTCAAAATGGGTTAGACATGTTGGTAAATTCCTCTATTTAAGCAGTGCCCAAACATCTCTAGGTCCATGGCACTGCAGTTGCATTGGACCATGGGCCTGTGATACGAATAAGGCATGAGAGCCTTGCTTTCAGCACTGGCAGCATTTTGTAGGAATGAGCTTGGGCTACCTTGCCTGTGCTGTATTAGTCACCACAGCAACCACTAAGTGCTAAGGAATAAATGCTGGCAGACTAGGGCCAGACAAACACCATCAGGTCTAGTCCTGACTTGTCATGCATGTTATCTCAGGTTTCTTCCTTATCTGAGCACAAGCTATCTGTATTTATGTTAGACCACTGGGGTATGGATCAAGATACTGCCTGCCTGTACCCTGTGCATAACCTCTCTTTAATGCTATTCCTCATTAGCACAGTTCAGTGCTATCAACTTGAGAAAAAGAGATTTGTGTTGCAACACCTTTGCTGCTATTGGCAAATACATTAAATTTAAGTTCATTCTCCTTGCCTTGCAAGGCTGAAATTATAGAATATTCAGGAAAATGAAACTAGTAAAAAATATTTGTCTTCATTATACTGAAGACACATATCTGAAGACCAGTGGAATAATGTTCTAGTTTTACCCTCTGTTGAATTGAAATGGGGTGGTGGAGATACTGAGTCAGTAAAAGTAAGACTTGCAGCCATACTTTTGGATTTGTCAACAGCAAAAATATTCAACTTCTAGTCCACAGTTTTTGTGTCATGTTAGCAGGATTTAAAATGCAGGCATCAGAAAGTATACAAAAACACCTGTAGATGCAGTCTTCACTTCTGATGAGGACAACAGGAAGCCTTCTAGTTCTGTCAGATTCAAAGTATGGCATACACTGCTTGCTTGCTGAGCGAAAATATAGGTTAGTGTACTCTGTTTTAGTCCCCAAATATCCCCAAGCAGCAGTGTGAGAGCAGAAGGTGGCCCTGGCGAAATATTACACTCTCCTTCTTCCCAAGTGCAAGAGAGAAAGGTACAATTGGGGAATTTCTAGACTGTTAGCTTATGCACATTTTTTCAAAAGTTTCCACACCTAGAAGCTGTTTGGTTGATGGCTTTATCTGTAAATTCATTGGCAAAGGATTCACCTTCATATGTGCATTTTAAATTGCTAGGGACCTTGGCAGTATGCAATGGCTAGAATGTAACAGTGATGCAATGACTGTATTCTCAAAAATGGGAAATAATATTTTGCAAAATCTTCCATGTCATATCTCATGGAAAAAAATATTGTTTGAAGCAATAGTACATTTAAATATTAGTGCAGATTATTACAAGCTGTGTTTTGTGGTTTTATCTCTCTATAGGAAGAATGCTTAGCCACAGATGATATGCTTGTGGATTTCTTTAATGAATTTTTGAGTCTTCCGGTAAGTACCTTACAGAAATTCCTTGCAAAATACAAGAAACGCCTTACTAAGATTAAGAGTAACTTCATCCATCTTGGAAAATCTTATGTTTTCCCATATATCTGTACTTTAATGGTAGCAACCCTTACTGCTCAGTGCTATTATCAGTAAGAATAGCCCAGTTATCTGGACTTCTGGGGACAGATGTTCTCTTGCTAATTTACAGAATCGCAAATAGGTCATGTTGGAAGGGAGCACAGAGGGTCATGTGGTCCAACCTCCCTGCTCATGCAGGGTCATCCCAGAACACATGGCACAGGATTGTGTCCAGATGGTTCTTGAATATCTCCAGTGAGGAGGACCCCACCACTCTCTGGGCAGCCTGTTCCATTGCTCAGTCACGCACACAGTAAAGGAGTTCTTCCTTCTGTTCAGGTGGAGTTTCCTGTGCATCACTCTCTGCCCATTACCTTTTGTCCTATTGCTCGGCACCACTGAGCAGAGCCTGGCATCATCCTCCCTTAATTTACTGATAGACATTGATAAGGGCTCCTCTTATTTGTCTCTTCTTGAGGCTGAATGTGCCCAGCTCCTTCAGCTTTTCCTCATAAGAGAGTTGCTCCAGTCCCTTAATCACTTTCATAACCGTCTCCTGGATTGCTCAAGGAGCTCCATGTTTCCCGTGTACTGAAGAGCCCTTGACCTGCTGGCAGTCTTCTTCCTAATGTACACCAGGCGTTCTTGGCCACAGGGCCACACTGCTGGCTCATGGAAAGCTTGTTGTTCACCAAGATCCCTAGGTTGTTTATGTATTTAAACTTACATAATTAATAATTTATGTATTTAAATAAGAGTGCACTAAAATAATAGGAATAGGAAATGAAAAAGACATAAATACTTTCTTAAAAGATATCCACTTCTATTACAGTGTCACATCATGACGACATAAATGTTTGTCCTTTTACAGTTTTCTGGCAATGTATTCAGTGATTAATCAACATTTTAGCTTAAGAAACAACTCTTTCTCCTCATGGTTCAGAAGGTTTTGAAGTTGGTACTTCCCTCCTCTTCCTCTCTCATTTGCAGCCAGAAGGATGAAGCCTTACACTGTATTCTGTGTGCTGGTCCAGTTATAGTTAGACCGTCAGTTAGACCTACAGTTAGACCTTGTATTTAACCAGTTCTGCTGTATTTTGCTCCTTTTCCCTATCAACTAGCCTAGCTCTCCACACTCTGTTGAGAGTCACATGTACAGTCCTGCACCTTCAATGTGGCAACCTCATCCACATCTTAGTAGTCTTGGCCCTGATGCCTTACACTCAAATTCCTTGTCAGGTGGCACAGGCCTTTCCACAGGGTCACTTGTGGCTCCCACCTGATGTGCCACAGAGTTGTCCCACAACTCTGTTCCCTTCCTAAGGCACTGCAGTCCAACAGGCTACACTACAAGAACATATATCCATTATAGCTTGCTTGGTAGGAACCACTGCCAGCACTAGGAGAGAGCAGATATCACTTGATGCTTCTTGGACCTCAAAGGAGCTACAAAGTGGCTTTGTGAAGTCACTAATGAAAAAAGTTCAGTTGTGATTCATAAGTGGAGGATTTGGCTTACTTAATTGAACCAGACATAGCTGTCTAAGACACATCATAGATTTGTGTAAATGTACACAACATGGAAATTGCAGTACTAAGGATGGTAGAATGGGCTCCTCATTCTAATTTTTAATCCTGAAATAGAATCTGGAAGTATTAACTCTATGTCAGAGTATGAGTTTTGTGCACAACATTGATACTGACTTCTTCCAGGAGCTCAGTCTTTACATGCTTTCACCACACTGCAAGATTCCAAAGAATAGACAAAGCTAGAGAGACACAGATTATACAGAATGTGTGGTAAGAGGGCTGGTGTTTTTCTTTCCTCAACACCTCAACTCCACCAATCCCTGCCCCACAGCTGCCTTAGGGTATCTGCTTAAATCCAAGCCTAAGTACTTAGGTTTTAAATCCAGGCCTCCTTCCATGTGCTGGATTGTTCTTAGCACAGGAGTACCATCCCCCATGCCTTTGCTTCTTATTTGGAAATAATGCTTCAAGTTTTCTCCAAATTGCAGAGGATGAAAAGGGTAAGAAGTTCAGCCTTTTTACTCTCTTGATCTCCTTGGACATACACAAATTTCAGGATATCTGTTAGAGGCCAAAATTCTCCTTGGCCTCAGAGGGCTCCTAAGCCCACAGTCCTGGCGCACTCAGCAGCTCTGGACTGCAGCAATTGTCCAGGCACTCCTGACGGCTCTGGAAGCCCACAGAAAATAGTTCACAGTCACTCCTGAGTAAACAGTGTTTTATGCTGGTAATCTTGGTAGGTTTCTAAGATGATGCATGGTCTCTCTTCCACATATTTACATATCTTCATGAAAACAGATGCTCTATTAGCTATTTTTAACTGTAATGTTCTCATAATTGGTTTTATTTTTTCTTTGATCTTTTCCTAAAGATTTATCCTCTTCAGGATTAAGTTTTGTTAATGCCTTGAGTTCTGTGGTTTGAATACCCTACATTCCCAATTTCCCCCTCCTTCTCAGAAGGTTTGTACTGAAACAGTGCATTGAAATTTCCATTGCTTTATTCTTGTTGTGCTTATACACTGTTGCCTGGGAACAGTATGACCCAGGTGTGCTAGTAGTTAGGCAACAAGTTAAACTGAAAATATTGTGAGACTTGATACAAGAAATGAAGGGGAGCATATGCTTATTTTAAGGGACTGCTTCTGCACTGATTTATAATGCACCATTAGCATATGGAAAATGGTATCACTGGGGACTTGCTGTAACAGCAGCAGGTTTTTAATGTGGTTTTCTTTTTGCTTTGATTTACAGCGTATCCCTTAAATGATCCGCTTGTTACAATGACATTCAATGTAATCTGACATAAATATCTAGGTACTCCCAAAGAGCTATATACTGTAATAAAGTGTAATTTACAGAAAGTATTTCTGAAATACATAATACAAAAAAACCTCAGGAGGGCACTTGTTGCCAGTAGTACAGTGATTTCACAGTAGCAGAAACCAATTACATGACACACAAATGAGTTACACCTTCCTTAGTAACTAATGTAAAAGGAAAGATTTAAGAGAAACATTGGCCTGGACACATTTCCAGTTCTAGAAGTTTAGGCTAGAATTTGAATCTCTGAGCCATGTATTAAAATCATCCAAGGATATGTTTAGTCAGGAATGAAAATTCAGAAGTCAGAAATTGTCATCTAGCTCAGTGTTGGAGGCAAGCACAGTAATAATAATCAGCTTGTTTCTCCTGCACTCTGCAAGCTGCTTGCTACTTATTCCATCCCAAGTCCATACTGGGTCTTACCTGTCATTTTCCAGTTACCAGTGATCCTGAGGAAGGCACACACCTCCTCTTTGCAACCTCAAGGAGTTGCACTAGAGACAAAAGTGCTACCTGCTACTTCTATTGATGCACATTCAGGAGATGACAATTTGGTGGTGAGTCCCTGGTTGTTGGTTTCCCTTGCAGCAGAAATCTTCTAAGTGACCATAATTTTATCAACTTTAGATTTCAGGAATATTTCTTTGAAACATTGTTCTCACTGTAAAAGCTCTCCTCCAGGTAGTCTGTGGTCCTGCATTTGATGCAGGTGATGATTCTGGAAACAATTAAAGCCCAAATAACAAAGCTCAGGCCAATTGGTCTTTCTGAAGACCAAATGGTCCTGAAAATCTAGTGCTGTCACAAATAAAACCTAGTGCTGTCACTTTTGCTTGATCTGAGTAACAGATTACAGAAAGAGCAGAAAGCAAAAAAGCAATCCACTCTGCTGCGCAGTTCAGGCCCTTCACAGCTTTGAAGATAACTTTGAATAATTCCATGCATCAAATCATCAATTCAAGGCATCAGTGCATGCTCATTAGTTTCCTCTTGTCTTTTCCAGGTGTGAGGAGGGAGGCTGCAGTTGCCAATACAACCTCCCTTAAAAAGGCTTTGACAGAAGTAAGGCCCTCCGTGAATGTTACATTGAGATTTACCTAGGACTAAAGCTTGCATCATGTCTTTGACATTGAAGGAAGCAAACAAAGCATTCCTGACTACATTCCTTATTAATAGTATGTTTACTCTCAATGTTCTTCACTCCTAATTAGATTGTGATATGTGATTATGACTTCTATCTTACTCATCAACAGAAGGGAAATCCTGGACTCATTAAAGTCAATGGGAGATTCTGCACTTACCATGTGTCGTGTGAATTTTTCCAGACACTTTATAGAGCTGCTCAAATTCCTTTCTGGTGTGGACTCTCACTGACATTTATTTATTACATACATATACCCTTCTTAAGGAAGTTTTGGCAATGCTCCTGGATGAGATCTCTATTCACTCCCACTCTTAACCTAAGAAGCAGCCAAGCTGTGGTCATTCTGTTTCTCTTGGGATCAAACTGCATTATTTGGGTCTGGGATGTGAGCATATTTACACATTTGTTAATTGTATCCAAAGTTTAGTGTATCTGAAAACTGTTAAGACAGAGAAAAGTGAGATTTATATGTCTGATATCCTGGCAACATGGTGATGGATGCTGTTTTGGTTTCTATTATGGGAGGACTGAGAGAAATTTGTCTTCCCTTCAGTTAAGTGTATAACTTCAGGTTTCAGAATTATGTATTCTGTTTATTTTTCAGCTGAAAACCACATTCAATATGTATTTGACAGCTAAGAAATTTCTTTGCTGTCAAAAAAGTACATGCATTTATTTGTTTATTTAATAGTATTGTTGTACCACAGTCTGAAAACAGCTTTTTGTTATTTGCTCAGAGATTTTTTTTCTGAAGCTAAGATTACTACATTGAATTGCATTGGTCATACTGGCTTTGGGAGGAGAATTTCCTGTGAGTGAAACAGTTTGCAAAGTCTGTAGACTACTTATTTGTTGGTATTCTCAAGTCCTTGATCTTATTTATTGTGCTACGTTGACAATGTATGAATCCCAAGCTTCAAGGCTCCTGCCAAGCCCAATTTATTTTTTCTTAACATCTTGAGGTATAATTTCTCTGCAGATTTCCCTTCCTATCTTCAAAGCACCAAAAATTGGCTCAAGCTAAAGAGAATGGTATACTTCGTCTTTGGTTCGTGTATTTTACTTGTCTGTGAAAAGACAAAAGCACTTGCCAAATGTGGGGTGAGAAAGATATTTCTTAGATTATTATCTTATATTAGATTGGCATGGATAATTTTTCCCCTTTCCTTTACAGTGTAGACTATCATCTACTCCTTAACATAGATGTCTTCACCAAAGAGATTCCTCATTATTGAAATGATGGAATGTTGGTGGTACCATGAACCTCTCTCATTGTCCTGAAAAGTGTTTCAGGTCCTGGTGCTTTTTTTTTTTTTTTTTTTTTTTTGTGACTTGTAATGTGTGAGAGTGGTTAGATTGAGTGTTTTGCCCCACAGTTCTTCAGATACTGAAAGGAAAATGGGTTGACTGATCATCTCTCCTGTGTGGTAACTGGGAAAATGTTTCCTACAACAAATCAGATTCTGGGGGTGGTTTTTTGTGTGTTCCCATTTGATTTTTCTCATAACATTGTCACTTTTATTTTTGGGGTGGGGGTGGTGAAAGGTTAAGAAGATTAGCAATTATCTCTTCTTTTATTATGCTTATAGAAACATTCTGATTTATCATTCTAAATTTTTTTGAGTAAACAAGCTTCTCCAGAAAGGTTTAAGTTATTCCAAAATGCTTTTGTATGATAGTTGAAGAGATGCTTTTTTGAGAATTTGGGATTTGTACAGAATTATAGATTACTGTCTGGAAGAGTCTTAGAGGAGGTCTGTAGTGTGGCTTCCTTCTCAAAGCAAAGTCAGTGCTTTCGTACTGACTCCCAGTTGCTTGGCACTTTCTACAGTTGATCTTGAAAACCTCCAACAGCAGATTCCACTCTGGACAGCCTATTCCAGTGCTAATCATCCCAAAATCACCTGTTTTCTTATAATCCAGTTGAGACCTCTATTGTTTCAGTGTGTGACAAGTGATCTCTTGTCCTCCCACCATACACCTCCATAAAAAGCCCGCCTTCATCTGTTCATTAATCTCCTTGTAAATACACTAAAGCTGCTGCTAGTCCTCCTGGAGCTTCTCCCTCAGGGGTGAGTGCTCCAGCCTCTGACTCTCTCAATGGTCTTCTGATGGACTTGATCAAATATGTGAATATCCTTCTTGTACAGGGGACCCAAAACTGGATGCAGTATTCCAGATGCATCCTTACTGGTGTCAAGTCTACTGGCTATTCTCTGACTGAGAGAAGAAGTATGCATGCCTTTTGATGTCCCTGGGGATGAGTGACTACATGCAAACCCCAAAAGTCTGAACTAGAACCCCCTTTTCTAGTCAAATATGTAGTGTATGAAGTTTAAATCTTCCTATCTGGTCAGTGTATGTTCTTTTGTTCTATTAGTATATTTATCTTATAAATGATTGGTAGTCAGACCCCAAAACAACAATACACTTTACATTTTAAAAATTGTCACTAGCCTCCATTTCACTACATTAAAATTGCCATAGTTTTCTGTTCAGCTAAATAGAATGTGTATCAAAAACCCCTAGATCTAGAGTAAGTTACAAATTATTAAATAAAAGTAGATATATGTGCTAAACTAATACTGTATTTGCTTAGTTTTCAATTTGAAAAATATGAAACTAAAGCAATCTCATCATATCTAATCACAAAGCCCTTTATTATGAAATTTGCATTTTGTTTGCTTTTTTTCCCATAAGCAAGAGCATTTCAAATCCTAAGAGATTGAAGTACTTTGATTCTTAGTGTACTTTCTTCAGTTTCTTTTTTTAAAACATGAAGGAATGTAAAAGGAAGAAAACATTTAGAGGCTATTAAGGTTGCACAGTCACTTAAAGCTGGTAGCTGCACAAATTAGGTTTGAAAGTAAATGAAGTGTGCACATAGCAAACTGGGAGGAGGTCTGCATGTAGGGAAATCTACTACACATGAAAGGTTTGTTAGATGTTGTTTGGTACATCTGGAAAAAAACCCACTAAAAACTGCAGAGTACCCTGGAGAAAATTATTGCCAAAAGAGGCAAAGGTGTCAGAGAACAAAAGCCAATCCATGATTTCAGCTGAAGTTAGGTAACTGAACAGACTCATGCAATTCAATGCATGGCCCTGAGCAGTGATGTCTGATGTCATAGGCACTAATCGTACACTTAATGCTCTCACATGCTGTGTGATTTGCCAGGCTGAGCCTCTACAGTGAGACATTATGGGATAAGTAGGGAATGCTGAAAAAACATGTTGCAGCCACATGGTCCAATTCTGGGCATTGTTCTACAAGACACTGATCAACAAGGGGGCTTCAAACAGAAGCACAAAATAGATGACACTAATATCATTACTGTGGGTTTATACAGGTGTGAAGAAGAATCAAATTGTTCTGTAGTATATTTCTATGTTATATGTAGCATGTATTTAACATATTTAGAATGTATATGAGTTATGTCTGTGTGCATATATGTGATATATGAAAAAGTTCAAGGCAGTTAAAAATACACTACTTGAACAAATAAAATATTCTTATTAAATGCAGGAGAACGACAACTGTGCAAACACCAGGTGGGATCCTGTCTGGAACAAAACCAAAATAAGTTTTGGTCCTGGGTTTAGGTGTGGCCATAGTTTTCTGAGTACCTAAATACAACATGCCTTGTCGTGTGAGTGCAGAGATGCTTATATACCCTATATAATATAGAGTATATAATGCACATAAGTTCTATATAATCTCCTGTTCATAACTGTCATGGGTATCCTCTATGACTTCTGTAAAATCCATCCATAGTTTTCTCTTCATTTCAAGTGAGAGAATTTTAAAGATAGTCTTTTAGGGAAATACCTGATAGCAGAGCTTAAAATATGAAAGATGGCTCTGTTTTACTGTGTACACTTGCAGTATGGTTTTGTGAGTTTACAAAAGTCACATTTGCATGGCCAAAATTGGAGTTTAGTCCATCTCATCTATTATACAGTATTTGACTGAACTAGTGATGTATAATAAAATTTGCTACAGGACAAAGTTTTTCGTAGTTGTTTGACCTACAGTAACAGTATGGGAACAAACCTTTCCCACATATGAAGATCTTCAGATTCATTCTCCTCAATCACAATAAATCTCACATTTAAAAGGTCAGTTTCATTGCTAATATTTTCATGCCTTGATTGTTGATAATAACAAATGGGAGAATAATACTGTAGATCTGATCCTGTAGGTGAGTACTTCTCTGTAAGACAGTCACTAAAGTCACAGTTAATTATATATGCTAGATTTCAATGTACTGCATCAGTTATTTACATGTGAAAAAGAATGGTCTGTGATCTAAAATTAATTAAGTTCTTGATAATTAAGTATTGCTGAGATAAAAAAGTAGGAATGCTTTGGAAAGCTATACAGCAAAAACAAGAATGCAGAAAAATTACTATTTCAGGCCCCAAGACAAAGAAGCCTCATAATGCAATTTTCTGTCCTGTAGGATGCCTCTATATGATAAAAAGTAATTTGTTAAATGACAGTTGCCTTATTACAGTACCATAAACTTTCCTAACTTCTTTTGTAGACCTTTGCCCAGCCAGTGAAGTTTAACTCTGATGTTGGAGCTTTTGAAGTAGTTAATTATGCCCCACGATGCCTGGAAAGCCGGCCGAAAAAAATTCTACATGATCAAAAACCTCTAAGCCCCATTTATGATGTTCTAAGCAAAGAAAAGAATGATGGGCAGCTCTCCAAAATGTACAGTGCTTCTTCAACCTTCAGTATTGATCCAAATTACAACACTATGGTAAGCATCTTATACCCTGAGTTTATATTTAGATCTTACTGTAGAGATACTGGCAATAGTTATTGTTGTGTTTGGCTTGGTAGCTTGGGAAAAATGTTAATTTATGTTAGGAAAATATAGTGATGGGCCAAATTATGCCCTGTAATGCACATGTGTCTAGCAGACAAGTGAATGGAATTACAGATGCACATCCTGTAGCACAGAATTTTGAAGATTCTGTAGGGCAGGGTTCAGCTGTGTGGTCTGAATACTTTTTAATATTAAAAGAAAAAATATTATGACAACAGTTACTTTACTAGTGATCCCTGGAATGTGCAAATTGACTGAAACTAATGCAGCTCAGTCTTTCCTTATTAATTAATTTCCTTGTGTGGCTATGAGCTCATCTGTGGTCTGGCAACACATAAGTCTCTCTTCCATTAATTCCTAAAGGATTTACATGGTTAGCATCAATTGAAATGGCCAGAAAAAATAATCTTTGGCAAGAAAAGAGCTAAATTAATGGAAAGATGGATTGGAATTTAGAAAAAAAAAAAAAACCTGGCTTCAGGCTTGCTTAGACAATATCAGTTTTGGTATTCTTACCTGCCTACTTACAGGGCCATCTTCAGCACCAAATCGGGCAGGTTAAAATCAGCAGCTGAAGCATCTTACACAGCTGGTACAATACCAGTCGGTGTAATTGGATGTGGGATTTTACCTTTTAAACAACAGGTTTCAAGAAAAAAAAAAGTATTTCACTGGGATGCTTGGTTTATTCCTTTCTTTCTTATTTTGCATGGATGTGACTGATGTGTCTTCAATTCATTTTATTCAAGGCCAGTCTAAAGTCTTGCACCATTTTTTGCAGTGCCTGCTCAAAATTATGTCATGGCTGGAAAGCTGAGAGCAGAGCAGGGAGTTGTGACAGACCAGCTTTTCCCAGTATAAGATTAATGATTTTCAGAAAAGAAAACAGTGTTGAGAGGTCAAAAGGCAATGATGTTTGACAAAATGATACTAATGTCATATTGCAATTATCTGCATTTAAACTGGACAAATAATACAAAAGGACAAGGCTCACAGACATCCCTATCATGTTAAATAATAATTTTCACAATTCCTTTGCTTGAGAGCACAAAAGCAGAACTGTTATTGATTTCTTATTTGCTCTCAGTATTAAACTGAGGAAATGATGTGTGTTTGTACAAGTGTGGCTTACATTGCTCTCTGGGCTAACCTCCCATTACCACCACTGTGGATGGCCTTTCTTGAGCAATTCAAAGCCATTTCACTATTATCTTCTTCTTTCATGTGGTCTGGAGAAGCAGGGCTTCAGTATTATTTAAGATTCTATTTCTTTCCCTGGGATAGTTTCCATAGATAGGAAGCATTATAGCCTTTTGAAGAACAATATGCCTCGGTACCTTTCTTCTTTTGGGGCAAAAGGGTGGTATTTCTTATTTTTGATTCCTCCTTTACTTGATGGGTAACATAGATGCCTCATCCAGTTCAGCTTGGCATCTCAAGTCTGAGCTGGAACAAAATGGCCTGTGAAACAGCTTGCCCCAAATGGTTACTGCAGCTACACAAGGTGAAAGGAGTCAGCTCCATTCATTGCGCTACAGTGACTGCACCAGGAGAAGCTACCCCAGATCAACTCGATCAAGTAGTTCTGCTCAAATCAAGTAGGATTTGATCCTTCAGTTGTCAGGTGATGCTGTCTGCTTTGCTTTGGCTGCCTTCACATGAACTAAAGACATTGACAGTTGTTTTTACATGTTACATTGATTACAAAAAGTCACCTTGAGTGATCATCGCTGGCAGCTTACTTGTGAAAAGGACTTATGACTGGAAAATCCTAGTAGGCCTTTCAGGCTATGGCCTGAATTTAAATACATCTTGGTTAAGAAATACATGCAGTGGTATTTTTCCTTTATTTTCCTTTATTTTACTTCTCTCTCAGATTGTTACAAATTTACAGATGACCAAAAGTTCTCTTCATGTGTGTTTGCACGTTTGCAAATCATTGATATGGAAGTAAATATCTTCTAATCCATAGTCAATATCAATGATGTGAAATACATTGATAAAAAAATCTGTGTACATGTGTAGAATTGATCACAACTATGGAAAGAAACTGGCTGGTATCCCACATACCTTACTCCAGAGAAACCCCAGTTCAGCAAAGCACTTAAGTATGTTTTTAACTTTAATCAAGGGAAGTTAAACACATGCTTAAACTTAAACATGTGCTAAAAGCTTTGCTGGATTGGGTCCTAGCAAGGTCTAAGTCTGATTGGGTGAGAAAACTAACCAAGGTAACAAACCCCATCAGATTAAATGTAGTATCTTTCTTTGGGGATGGGGAAAGAATAAAATTTTTTTCCTTCTGATATGACATATAATTTTGTGTACCAGCCATGTACAGACGTGAGCATGTTATGAATCATTCAGATAAAAAACTGGGCTGTAAGTCAGTAAATGCATAAATATTAAATGCCAAAATAAAGAAACTATCTTCTGTATTTCAAAAAACCTTGTCAATTGCCAAGAAGAAGCATACACTGTGTGGTTGGGAGTAATTAGTCTCCATCTCCACAAATTACATTGTATGAGCCACTGCCAACATAAGCTTTCCATATTTTGAAATATTTTCTTCTCTCTAAATGAAACCACCCACTTTCTGAGTAATTCAGACTTTTTTAATCCCCTACAGATATGTATGAGGCAGAAATAACCCTTGCCCTGAACGGAATATTAGCTCACGGAAAGAAAATTCAAGCTGTGATCTACATAAATTGATTACCTGATATAACAAGTAGTATCCGTCCTTGCCCAAACTTCACTTGTTTTTGTGGACAAGGGTAGTTACTGCATTCTTCAAAATAATTAGTCTCACTTCAGCAAAAGGAAAAATGCACCTCAGATGAATAAAATAGATCATCCCCTAAGAGTGGAAAAAGCACACTGTTAAAAAAAATACTAGGAAGGGCTGTATGGAATTTCTAAGGGAAGCAAGTATGGGTCATTGTGGCCATAGTCAGAGAACTTTCTCTTATTTCATTGGAACTAGCTGTCTCTGTGTAACTTGCTGCTCAACATTTCCCTTTCAACCCCCAAACTACTCCTTGGAAGCACTTCTCTTTCTGCTTCAATGAGGCACTGAGGCTTAGACTGTCTGAGCAAAAATTTCTTGTGGCCCCAGGTCATTACACACATGGGTTTCCACTATGAGTATTACTGTGTACAGTGGAGTTATGCAGTGATCCAACATAAATGCATGAGAGGTGGTAACTAATTGGATTTCGATTTGTTTGATTTTGGTTTGAATATCCACAGTTTTCCCATTCTGAAAATACAACTTAATTTAAGGTTCCTTACTATTCAAATTCTTGAGGAAAAATAATAGCTATTATTTATAAAATGTGAAGTCAGAAAGTAGCAGTTTCCTATTGCAGAAAATTTTTGTGCATCTAATTCACATTTGAAATAGTACAGTAAAAGAATGATTCATACACACATTATTTCTGAAGAAAAAAACATTCATTATTTGTTACAAAAGTCAAACTATTAATAGGTGAAATCAGGTTTCGACCTTTTCAGCTTTTAATAGAAAAGTAATTTTTCCAGCATAAAGATGATGTTCACTCTGTATTTATTTTCCTGAGCCAATGCTTCCGTAGAAGGGGGATGTAGAGAATCAGTTATGTGGCAAATAAGTCAATAATACTGCAAAAATTTGGAATTTCTTTTTTAATAGCAACTTGATCAAGAACAAGCAATTGAGTGGATTAAGAAAGAAAGGCTTCCAGCATTTCTAGAAAGTGACTGTTACTTTGAATACAGGTATTGCAATCCTTTATGCTGTCTTTCAGTTATAAATTTGTATATTTTCCTCTTTCGTTTAATTCATCTTGGTAGTATTCTTAAACTGGTTTTGCCCTCCACTTGTCCTGTTTTCTTTATTGTAATATTTTAGTGACCTGGATAAAGTTAGTGACTGTTTTCACTCACCATGCTGTAATTTTCCTTGACCATGAATTACATTCTATACTACACCAATACAAAGAGAGTAAGAATGGGATTTACTGATTTCCAAATCTCTGTTCCTCAGAGACATGGTAGCAATGAATCTTTTGCTAATCAATATGTAAGCCATATAAGTAGAAGTTACAAGTCTATGAAATTAATTTGGAAAAAAACAGCAAGTGTTTTTTATTTTAATTATTAATTTTGTGTCTTTGGGGCCTCTGTCAGACTAGCAAAGTTCTCTATGGGATGCCATGGCATAGCTGGATGATTTGCTGTTACAAACTTGCAGTATTTTTCCAGATGCCCATTCACCAGATGTTCAGGAGATCTAGTGTGCATTTTTTGAAGGACTTACTTCTGTATCCCTTAAGGCTGTGTCTAGATGCAGATGATTGTAGCATGTTTTAGGGATCCAAAAGGAGAGGCAGTCTGGAAGTATGGTTCACAAAACTCACATTTGCTGATTGTAATGGCAGAGTGGTTACTGGGGTATAGATTTCTACAGTTCAACATTTTAAAACGTTTTTTATTTTCAATAACCTGGAGACTGTACTTAAGTTCAAGGGGGAGAAGTGTGCAAAGAACATGCAAACTGTGAGAGTGCTGAATTATACCTTTGTTAACAGCCTGCTTTACTCATATCTGGGCCTCATGAAACAATAACTTTGATCTTCTGCCATAGCAAACTGTTTGATCAAGAAGAGTTACCAAGAGAATTGCATAAAACCATCTTTAAGGATGTATCTAATTTCAACTGACATCAGTAGTTCAATCTGCTTTCCTAAATCAGAATCAAGATAAGTTCAGATGCAAAAAGGGAAACTTGTGTTTAAAGGTGAAGACACCCTAACCCTTGAAATAAATCCTATTTGATCTCCAATAGTGGGCACAAATAAAACAGACCATTCACTTGGTTGTAGGCTCAAGTGTAGGCTTCATCTTCCCTTCACATGTGACTTGGTTGGCTTTGTACTTCTTTCTAACTTAACTAAGTTCTGCCCAGTTCCTGGGGCCAGAGCATTCTCACTGTTGTCATGTGGGTCTATGATTGCATTTCCTGAACACTGTGAGATTCACACCAACACAAAGTAGCACTGGAGAACTGTTCAGTACTATGGAATCCCCATAGAGCAGCCAGCTGAACACAAGAGTGCCAGCTATCTTGTAATCCGCTGCAAGTTCCATCAGTGTTGTGGCATTCCTGCTGGAAGATTGCTTCTGTTAGGAACCAGAGGTGTAGTATCTGCTAGTGATACAGGACTTCTGCAATCTGGGAGAACAGTTCAATTTTAGTGAACAAAATGTTCAAGGGAATCTTGGCAGGGCTTGGAACTGCAGAGATACATGCAAAATCGTCCTGAAAGAAGACATTTTTTACTGGTAAAGCTTGGTAATGCAAGCAGGGCACTATGTGTGTGCTGGTGAGCTGTGCAGTGGCACTACTGGCATTTACAGATGTGACAGTAGGTGAAGGCTGAAATTATACCTAGCTGGACTCAGTGGGTCCCTTCCAAATAATTCCATTGTTCTATGAAAAAAGTAGATAATTAAGTTCTCTGTAGCCAATTTTTTTAGATAGATGATTTTTTTAAATTGCCGGTTTTGTGGGGAAATCAACTGTTTCTCTGAATAAAAGCTAAAATTAATTATTTTCTTGTCTTAACATTTAATTTCAGATTAGCTAAATTGATATCACAGGTAGAATGGAGCAAGACTGGCATTAATTTCATTATAGATAATGACTACTCTCCCTGGATAAGGAAACAAAGGCCAAGTTCTCCCCATCCTGAGGAGGATGACTCTTCACTGACTTCATTGACTATGAAGGAGTTCTATGTATCACTTGGAGAGGTAAAATAAACATATTTAGTGGGTGTAGCATCGAGATAGATTGAATGAATTGGATAGAATTATTGTAACTGGGGTCACAACCTCATGGGACAACTGACTCTTGAATAACCTAGTCTAGTGCCAGGGGGTTGGAAACAGATGATCTTTAAGGTCCCTTTTAACCTAAACTATTTTCTCTGATTCTCTAGATAGCTTTTATATTCAAAGTTTTTTGTACTATAGAGGAAGGTCGATGAATTGTAATATGTAGTAGAATGCAGTGATCCCTGACAGGGGAAGAATGATGTCTGAACTCCAATGATTTCAGAAGGCTAATTAATTATTTTATTATACTATATTACACTATACATTTATTACACTATATTACACTAACAAGAACTATCATTAACTACCTAACTAGAAAACCCATGACTCCTGAGAGTCCTGGCACACACATGGATCCAATTGGTCAATGAATCCAAAACACCATCACCGGAATCCAGTCAAGCAATCACCTTGGGTAAACAATCTCCATACCTCATTCCACATGGGCACAAACAGGGGAGCAGTGAATGAGATAAAAATTGTTTTGATTCTCTTTTCTCTGCTTCTCTCACAGCTTCTCGCAGGAGAAATACTGAGAAAGCTAAGTCTCTCTCTGTTCAGAGGGTATCTGAATACCACAGTAATATAACTTAAACAGAAGCTCAACTCATATGAGTATGCTCAGCTACTGTCACACAACTCTCTGCCTTGGGAACTATCCATACAGAAATCTACACAAACAGACTGCACAGAATTCCTGTGGACAGTAAGCTGTTGTTCTCAGAAATACTGCAATAAACAGAGAAATTTTAATTGTTCTATGACACTTCTTTTCCTAGGCTACAGTTTCCCAGGTAAAGGATTGGTTTACCTTGGCAAAACAAGGTGATTCTGTGAAAACTACAGATTCATATACACATCCTGTAGTTTCTAGTAAAATTCAAGATACTCAGCATTTGCCTGGGCAGCATAAAAGAGATGAATCATTACCTGGAAAAGATCCCCTTCTGGGTAAGTAACAAGGGTTACTTAACCCTGTGGTTAAATAACAAGGGTTAACAGAGGTTACATAACCCTGTGGTTTGTAACACAGCTCAGACTAGCTGGAAAGGAAAGGCCTTCTAAGGAATTGTTGCTAACTCCACTTGTTACCTTCTGAGTATCACATGGCATCTGGGGCTTCATACAGGCATTTGTTTCTTTCCATAGCTATATTATGTGAAAGTTTGAGCTAGTTGCCAAGTAATTTTGTGATAGTAGTAGTTTCTTTTCTTACACTTTTTTGTCTCACAGAAATTGGTAAGTTTCAGTTGAGTTGTTCTGAGTCTTTTTGGGAGAGAGGTATTAATGTCTTGTCTCGACTCTTTGGGTATTTGATAGCATATTATGTGTTTCAGCCATGTTCTTATGGTATTTATATTGGGCACTTAAAGGTCTTTTGGCTGCCAATTTTTATGAATCTTGTAAGATGTAATCATTTGGATCCTGTCTATTTTCAAATTTATTTGAAATTGTTTGGCAAGTTCCAGAGTTTCTGGGGGAGAACATACAGGTGCACATATGGACATATACCTCATTGCACAGCCTTGCTTCTGCTTTTTATACAGTAGCAAGGAAGAGAAGCCTCGGCTTGTATGTTAGGAACTTGCTCTCTCTCCATTCTCAGAGATGTATCTCTCTCCCTAATTACCTCAGGTCCTGAGAAATTATTCTCTATGTTTAATTTCACAGCCCTGTGTTAAGAGGCTGTGATTTTTCATTGCCAAGTCAAAACAAGTAAAATAGGTTAGAATTAAGAAAAAATATTTTAAATCATAGTGATTTTTATGTTAATATCAACACATTTTGCCACATATAGTTAGGAAATTATGTAATTGCAGAACAGGAAATCTCTGCCACATTCCTAATCCAAGTGTCTGTCTGTGACAGCGGCCAGCACTGGTTAGATGTGGTTTATTTTCAGAGGAAGTTGAAAGGAATGAAAAGGTAGACAAAGAAGCAGGTTACCTGTCTAAGGAATGTCACAAAGTTTCCTTTCACCTTCAGGGACAGCATCTGCAAAAGCCGATGTTACCAGTGAGAGATCTAGAAAGGCTGAGGAGGGCTGCTCTGTGGCCATTGCTGAAGCTCCTTCCCACACACATTCAAGAGTTTATCTAGACCCAAAATGGCACAGTGCAGTAGAAGAAGAAGATGAACAGGGAAGCACGACTTTTCAGACAGCAGAAGAATTCACATCAGCATCCTCTCAAATTTCAATGAAGGAACCCATTTCAGAGCTGACCCTCCAGCCAGCTGCTGACATTGAAAGTAATGTGAAGTTCCACAAAACAGCCTGAAGTGTCTATACACAGGTTAGCAAATAATGAATTGCTCATGGTACTGCAATCACTCTTTAACCAAAGTTCTTCTCCACTTACAGCCTTGGGCTCCAAGGAAGGTGTCAGAAAACAAGGAAGCATAAGTCCCAGTTCTGAAAGTGTTGGGCCAGACAGCAGGGCTGCCTGGTGTATTAGTCATGGGACGTATGACACTGGCAACAGACATGAGTTTGAAAGATTCAAGAAGTTCATTAAAGGAACACTTGGGGAGAGGTACTGGTGGCTCTGGATGGATATTGAAAGACTAAAGTCTCTTAAGAACACTACAAGGCAACAAAGGTACTTCCCATTATTTGACAGTTACTCCCATTGTTTTAATACTTGTAACCTGGATAGATCAATGCAGGTTTTGAGATTTCAGAGTAAATTTTAATGTCTGAATAAACAGACAATTAAATGTGTGTCCTGACAAGGTTTTGAATGACTCTGCTGAAGCTGATAAAACTCTTTTTGCTGAGTTGTTTGCAAGGCTTACATGAAGTCAGAATCATATTATTAAGGCTGTGTTAGAAAGAGATTTGGAAAACAGATAACAACAGGGAAAAACTAAAGAATAGAAGAAATTAAATTCACAAGTAGTACATCAGTATGACAAACTCCTTTAATGAAAGATCCTGTGGGATTCAGATAGTCTATTCTACAGCACTATACATTTTGTCTTGTACAGAACCTGTCTCTAATTTGTGGAAAAAATATTTTGGCTTCTGCCACTTGCAATTAAAAACATGTTGCATGGCAGCAGTTTAAGCAATAGGATAAGCTGTTAAGCAAGAGGATAAAACAGTCAGTTCTGTACAGCATTTGATACATGCTTATGTGACTATTTTTGTTGACTGCAGGCAACTCAGTAAGATGAAAAAACTGTATCTGCTGAGCAGTGGAGACTATTTCCTCAGTTCAGAAGTCTTGCTCAGACTTGAGCTACTGCATGGAGATCAGTGGAATATAATGCATTTAAGACAGATTCAGCCTGAAGTAGTGAAACCACTTCTTCTTTACTGGTATGAAAATATGGATGTGAAATAAAATTCTATTGTTTAATAAACATCCATTTTCTTTAATAAACCTATTATTTAATGTCACTTATCCCATTGCAATTATTAGAAGCAATGTCACTGTAAGTACTAGCACACTAATTTTTGGCTGAGTCTAAACCACAATCTGCTGAGAAGCCTGGTAGATCTGCCTTAATAAGCCCTTGTCATTTTTCTACCAGAGAATCTGAGCTGCTTTGTGGATCTCTGCCTTGAGTAATGTTCAACTAAAGTTTAGTCTGCAGGACAGGGAAGGCCCTCCAGGCACAGGAGATTAATTCTGTCCTAACCTGTTCCCCATACTACCCTTCCCAAGTTCTGAGGATGCTCTGTGCATATGCCTTTCATGGGATTTAAGCCTGAGACTTTACTGTTCAACGCCTGTCATACAAAATGGCTTTTACATATTAACAGCTTAAGTGAGGATATAAATTCTAACCTATTTCCAAAATATGGGCTAAATTTTTGAAGGTGTTCTCTCCTCCCCAAGGACGTTAATCAAATTCCAGGCATAAACCTGGAATTGTGGATCCTCACATGACTTGTGGTCTCTGTCCTGGCCTCCAATCCTTTCCTATGCTTTGCTGTAGGATGGATGGGGCATATCTTCCTGCAGACTGATAGAAGGGCAACTGTTTGTAATGGTGCAGAATTTGCAACCTAAATTTACTTATGTGTAGTTTGGTTTTAGATTTGGAAGCATGCAGTATCTAAACATACCTTTGACACTAACTGATTTTTAATCCTAGGTGCATATAGCACCATATCTTGGTACAGTAAACAACATCACTGGGAAAAAAATGAAGCTAAATAGCCCCGTGTTTCATTACTTTGGAAAGTTCTACTTATTAGCTGTTTTCTCCCTAGGGGTCCCAGATTTTGTGTCACTCATTCAACAGCAATAGATTCTGCCAGTGCAAAACTGAAGTTCTGGCATACATGTCAAGAGAGACCAAGAGTGGACATTGATCCTTTCCCACAAATAGTATCATTGTTGCCATTGACCCAAAAGTCTGACATACCACCTTCCCTTCTTCAGGTAAGTAGGATCACAACATTGGAAAACAAAGCTTTTTCCTGTCAAAAATAATGACAAAACTCCTTGAGTTCAATGGAACGAGAACAAGGTCTTTTAGGAAACATTTAGCAAGCTGGTATATTGAAGATGGTTACATATAAAAATGCAATATAATTTCATAATACTTCATACAAAAAGGTGCTATAAACTGAGTCAAATTATCTTCTCAGTTACACTTTGGCTGTTTCCTAAGCTAATATTTTAGCTGGTAGTTCTCAGAACTGCAAAATGAAGTCTCTAGCAATGCAGCTTCACCACTCAGCCTTGTCTTAATCCAGAATAATTCTTACAACGTCACTGTGGTTAACCTGGATCTGTTCCTCATGTCTGTAACAAAGGCAGAGTTCTGCTTATTTTCTATCACTACAGCCCTTCAATCAGCTACACATTTTTTTTTGCTTTCTACAGAGGGCTGTGAGCAACTCAACAGACCTTTACAGACCTTTTCACAGTTTGTAGCTTTCAGGTGGCCAGTTCAGTTTTGTCTCTTTTCTTCCTTGAAAGCCTGAGTGTGAGAAGTAACTGCAATAAAACCGACAGGTTTTCATCAATACAGTGTTAAACCTCAGGATACATGGGACTTGGAGAATGTGGATTGAAACTGTGGATCCAGTATCAAGAGCTGTATAGGCTGCCACAGATTTGTCAGCACACACCGCTGTTACTTTAGGTTGGATAGTTTGGAGCTACAGTCACTTCCCTTGAAATCTGATTTGTGGAGATAATGGATGAAAACAGTGGGACAGATTTCCTATTTAGAATAAACTGGATTCAGAAGCCACGTTCCTGTTGGTCATGGCAGAAATGGGTGACAGAAGCACCTGTGTCTTACAGTGACCAGTTCACAAGGTGTGCTAATGAGCCAGGACTAGCTGTAGGTAAGGCAGACAGGAACCTGCAGGTTTTCCAGTCTCTGTTGAATCTGACACAAATTAGGAGCTGGTACCATGAACATCACAGAGTCACTAGATGGCCCATTTCTTGCTCTTATATTTTTTTTCCTATAATTACTTTGGACTTTTGAATCTTCTAATTACACTGTGCTTGCAAGAGCTTAGAAAAAGCAGCAGCTCTGGGTGATTTTCTGAGGGCACTCTGAATGCAAGTGGCATCTCCAAAAGGTCAGAGCATGATTTTGTTCAAAATAATAAATGACAGTGTGGCAGTGAGCTGACTTAAGATAATCTTCCTAATGTTTCACAAAATATGTTCAAATGCTCTTCACCTGACATCCTCTGTAGTTCTGTACAATGTTCTTGTAGCATATTTCCACCTGTTAAAAATGCATTTTCTAAGCTGTAGTGGTTATTAAGCTAGGCTGAAAATTCTTGTAAAACATTCAGAAATTTTTGCAACTTGCCATTTTACATATTGAGATTGACAAGGAAGAATACTCCTGTACACCCTCGACTGTTTCTGACCAGTCAATGAGAACACATTAAGAAAACACAAAGGTGGAAAAATAATCCACTTTCCTTGTTTTTCTGTAATGTCTTTTACAAAAGTAGAACAAACTCACCAACAACTTTATTAAAACTAGCTAAACCAAATTTCTCTTTGAAGAGATCATCAAGATTGCCACCTACTCTCACAGGGAGTCCGATTCTCCAAAGGGATGATACTTCTGGTACTAGAATGTGGTAAGTACTAAAGTCCCTTGTTTATCTTTCTGCGCAGCAATATACCTCAAATATTTGTGAATGTATTTGAGATTCTACTGTTTTCATTAATACTTTTCTATAATACCATTATCTGCTTAGTGAAGTACAGTTATGGCACAGATTGTTTGCATGGAGAATTCCTCCCTGGCTGATCAGTTTCTCTTAAGCCACAGTACAAAAATGTTTATTTCCCCAAATACAAGTCTTTTCTCTTATATAATATTCAATATTCTACACATTCATATTCTTTTAACTGGTCTCAAATGCTGACCCTCAGAATTGTGCTGTGGCAATGATTTCCACAGGGCAATATGGAAAAGGTATTCTACATTTTTTTCATTAAAATTTAAACTCTATGTACTTTTTCCTCTACTATTCACTGGATCATTACACCATTTTTTTCCCCTTCTTATTTATTTATTCTATAAGTGGCCCTAGGTTTTTCTTAAATATTCATTGAAATTTTTTTTTGTTTGTGATCCAGGCCAATGTCAGTGAGCACACACATGATTCATAGCTTAGCTCTGGATGGGACCAAAGATTCAGAATACCAGGGTCGTAGAAAGTACACCTATGCTGAGCTTCTCCACGTGAGTATGGCTTGAAAATATTAGTTGTCTTGAATCATGGGTTACACTTTATTCTGCAGTATGAAGTAGTCAATAATGGGGAGAACGGGGTTTAATTTTATGAATGTCAATGCTTTATGCAGAGGTATTATTAGAATGTCAGCATTTTCTCTGTTGTATCTGTCACCTATTGGATAGGAAATCACGGCAAACACAGAGGTTTATTTTCACTAGAAAGTGTTGATCTTCTCCGTAGCAACCATGTGTTCAGTAGGCTTTGATGGAAAACTTTCTGGATAAATGCTTCAGTGGAATCATTGCCTAGGAAAGTATATCAGACTTTCAGTGAAAACTGAATCTGCCTTAGAAAGTCATTAAAATTATAACATTCATAGAGGGAAATTGTTTGTTTGTACACTCCCTCTTTATTGCTTGTGTACTTCATTCTTTTCTTTGTTGAATTATTGCCTGCTAAGCAGGTCTTCAGTCAAGCAAACCTCAGGAGGGACAGGCTGCACAGATTAGCCTTTTCTCAATAACTGTTAAAATGCTAACAAATCAAACATATGAGATGTCAACATCTGGCAATCTGAAATATATCCAAAACCTTTCTTGTTTGTGGAATGATCTCAAAACAGCCTGCTCTTTCATGGAGGTATTGATACCCATAGCCTTATAACTGAAGGGGAAAAAGTTAAGAAATCTGGGCCCACTCACATGTGCATGGGGTTTGCTGAGCACTTGAGCACATTCTTGTTTGATTTTGCACTTCAAAATCACACTTTATTTATTACTTCACTGCAATCATTTTACTTGGTTGTTTTTGACAGTAAAAAAAAAGGTTAGTCTTTGCAATTACAGGATATTTGCAGTTAGGAATGTATATTCAGCAAAAGTTCACACCATGAACTATTAGTTTTTACATCATATGCAATTTTCCTCTTACTGACCGAAGAAAATATCATATATTTACAGTGGTTAGGCTGGAACCTACAGTCAAGACCTCACAATTTGCCATCACAAATACAATGCGAAGGGGAATGCAGGATTCATAGTTTAACTTCATACTGGGGAGGGAGATCTTCCTACTCTGCTTCAAAAGCTAGTTTCCTCCTGCCCTTCTCCATCCTTGTTACTATTTGGAGAGAAGCTGATTGCCAGCCACCACACTCATCTGCTTCCACTTCTGCTATCAGAGACAGAAAATCAGCCATAATTTCTCTCTTGTGATCATCAGAAGCTAATTTACTTACAGAAACCTCTTATGGCTTCTCTGTGAGCATTGAAAAAATGGATGTATTCTTCCTCAAATGCTCTAGGAGCTAGCTGTGGTAAAGAGCATGGATTTCTAGCTTGCTCAGTTGCTCATGATTTTGTTGCTCATGTCAGTAGTGTAACCCCAGAAGATGTATCTTTTGTTCCATAACAGTTAAATGTTTTGAATCTTGACCAAATAACCACCTCCTAACTTCTCTTAATTCAAAACACAGTAGCCTGAGCTGAAACAACCCTTGACAGCTAACTGACGTCGTTGAGTATCACTGGAATTCCCCAGAGCTAAACATATAATGACAGAATTAAGGCCAGGGTTGTTTTTCTGTTTTAAGTATTGAGGAACCACCTAAGGGATGCTACGATCACTTAGCTTCTCTGCATGTCTTCAGTCATCAGATTTATTCCATTGGATGTGAATATTTAGTGGGAAAATGGTGAGGAGGGCCATGATCAATTGCATATGTAGTAGAAAATTGAGTCTATTTCCTTGGGATGAAGATACTAATTGAACACACTTCTTGGCCCTCCATTGCAATGTAGTGACATTTGAAAATAATGAAAGCCTGTAATTCCTTGCTGTATAACTTTGTTTTATTTGTCCAGGGAAAAAGTGTTGCTGGTAGTGTTGTCTTCAGGGGATCAGGAATTGAAAGCATGGTACAGTCTCTTTATTTGGAGAACAGAGCAGGCTACTACTTCACACAATTCTGTGAGAAGTCAGGGAATAAGGTATGAATATTTTCCTACTCTGTGATAATTTAGTCCACATTGACTGAATGCCAAGTTATAGAGGGCAGCCAGACAAAAAAAAAAAAAAAAAAAAAAAAAAACACGAAATTAAGAAAGAAAGATTGATGACTGGATGAATTATTACTTGTGAGACTTCAATCCCTCAACAACAATAAACTGTTCATGTATATATGCAAACTAATGACAGGTCTTAACCAAGCTGTCAGATTCTTACTGTCTCAAACCTATTGGAATTCTTATTGTACCATTAGGGATTAAAAAAAAAAAGGCTAATAATTTTTAAAAGTTAACCTTTAACTTGGCAAAAAAGAATAAGATCTTAACTCACAAAATACATTTTTAAAAAGATGGGAAATCTGCTGTGCTATTACTCCTGATAATCTGATTTCTTCTTACTTTTTGGATGTCTAAAATCACCAATATTTTTAAATTGCTCTTATGCTTCCATGAATCTCCTTGTATTTCTGAGACATAACAGTATTTCTTCTATGTAGTCAGCAGATCTATCATTCATTGCTTGGTGTAAATTGAGGATTGAATTGGAACAATTTATGAATATTGAGTTAGTGTTTATTGGCTTTGCGGAAAAATTGAATCTTTAGGGGAAGTTTGAATGCAATCAAGATGGACATCTGTCTCACCACTAGCCCAAGCCAGAATCCAGCAGCAGTAGCTAGAAATGCCTCTGGCTTCAAGAAGGCAAGATCCAATGTTTCCAAAGCTAAATACCTTCAGCTAAAAATATTAAATGTGTATAGAAAGAAATCTAAATGAAAGAAACTTTTTTTTCCTTGGGAGATAGGCAACCACCCATGTGTCTCTAGCCTTTCCAGTTGCCAGGCTACTTTCAAAATTATTTGCTCAAAGTTTTCTCTTCAGCTGTGAAGCCTATTTCACTCATGTTCTAGGTCTGGAAGGCTATAGTTTGTGGAAGAAAGTTCCCTACCCCTACCTTTTTGGAATGCATACTTTATTGGTTAGTCATGGGGGTTTCAGGGTATTTTTAAGGTCTAAACCCTGTAAACACATGATTAAAACAAACGGAGGACTTGGGGAAAGATCTAGACTCCTTCTGAAAGATCTTTTGGTCTTTAGTTGAATTTATGAAATGAGGCCAAGACTCTGGGTGCCAGAAATGCATGTAATAAAAATGTAATGATAATCCCAGTACAATATGTCAAGTACACAGTATTTCAGTATTTAATTATTTTGGTTTTTTGTTGCAAAATGCTATTTTGCCATAGCACAAACTCTGCATGTCCATTAGCAGCATCTCTTCTTTAGTACTGGCTTTATGCCACTGAAATGTGGTTGCTCTTCAAATCTTAACTACAATGTTAACAATTTTAATTGCCAATTATGCATAAAGGATACAAAAGAAGATAGAATATCACTGTGATGATGCTATAAAATATGTTGTTCTTCTGCCAGTATGCAACAGAAGATTAAATCCATGTTAAATTGAGCTTGATTTATGGTGACCCCAAGAAGCTAAATAATTACTTGCATTGGAAAGTAATTTTTTTATAAAATTGTGATATTTGGGTAGCAATAACCTACAATATTTTTAATCTCTAGTTGTGGAAGAACTGTGTGTACTTTTGGTTCGACCTACAGGCTTATCATCAGCTTTTTTACCAAGAAACCCTTCAGCCTTTTCAAATATGCCAGCAAGCTCAAGTAAGTTGTAAAATATGTGGTTTTCTTTCAAAAATACATTTATTCGTTCCCTTCACAAATGCATTTGTTCAGTATAAAGACTGAAAAGAAGATAGAAAATAGAAAAGTTTCCAGAACTTGACAACCCACACCAAAGTAAATCTGTGTTGTGGGCAGTAAAAGAAGCTCTTTGGATTGTTTCCATGGAATTTCTTGATTCAAACATTAAACATGCATAGTTTTGATTTCCAGGCTCTGCAGCCTGTTCCCAGTTTTATCTATTATACTCAGTTTACCTAAACTCCCCTTTGCTACACTGAGTCATATTTGGAAACTGCCTGCTTAGTGTTAAGATCAGTATTTTTTCTAAACCAACTAATTGTGCTGTACCTTTCCTTCCATCTCCTGTGTGGGTTAGAATTGCATATCTCATAGTGCATGCTTGCCACAGTGCAGACCTCAGATAATGACCTCAATAATGAAAATTGATCTTTGTTAGCCCTGATGATTGTCAGGACATCATTATTATCTTTACTATGGTTATCATCCCCCTGAATAGATCTTTAGACCCTCATTTAATGTTAAGTGGAACTGATATTTCCTATAAGAGAGTATTTTAATTGAGCATGCACTTAGCCTACAGTGGTGCTTCAGCACAGTGGCACTGAAGGCAGAGTAGATTGATTCCCTCGGAAAGAAATTGCAATAGTGTGATATAATTAGAAGAACTATGAGAAACTTTTAAAATCACTTTGTCAAACTGTGGTCTGATTTTCCTCTCTAAACCTTTTGTAGGAGTATATCCTATCCCCATATTTCAATATATACTGTAATAGAGCAAAACTACTTCACATATCATTGGAACAAATATCTGTAGAGGGCAGGTGAGAGTAATCTCTTTATATGACATGTTCCTGAGCATCTGGACATCCTTGAGTTTGTCTTCTTTTTCTTCTTGGAGGTTTTACTGGGAAAATAATAGATGTTTGTATATTTGTCCAGAATTCTTATCTAAATCAGTCTTATTTGTACAGAAACTCCAAGCAGAGGCCAAGGCATGGATTCCTCCCTCTCTTGTCTCGTACTGGGTAAATGGAACCGTTACCCTATTTAGTTCTTTTCCCCTCCAGCTCTTTTTATGGACTGAGGCTGTGGGCAACTAAATGTCCCCTTAAGTCTGACTGTCTCCTGCATCTCTCCATGCCTGTGTGTGGCTGGGGACCTCCTCATAGCAGATGCACAAGCTGACCATATCTATTCTGTGTCACCATTTTCCTATATGTCTTATTACAGGCCAAAGCTTACCTTATAGACTCTGATCGCTTTCATTTTGGTTTCGTTTCACACCAGTTTACATTCTTTTTGTAGTGGTTGCATAGCTAAAAATTTAAGGCCCAGGTCTTTTTTACTAATCTTATTTCCAGTGGTGGCCTGGTGGTGACAGCAGAACATCGTACAATCAGTGTGACCAGGCGATTGCAGACAGTACATATACTTAGCCATGAAAGTAAATACATCAAAACTAAATATGTGAAACTGTTCCATTAGCATAACTAACAGCTGAAATGTAACATAACAAATCAACACATGTGCTGTAACATTTGGTATCATTCTCAAGCTTTCCTTTTAAGGCTGCAGAAAAATTATACTTGTTTTCATTGGAACACTGTAAAGAGTCAAGCTGCAACCAATCTACAGAGTCTGCTTACGGAAGGGATGCCTTCCCAAATTCTGCACTCACCTTTGGCACAAGAAGACAGTCACTCCAAAGACTCCTAAGAGAATGTGAATCAGATTCACAGGACATATTGTCATATATATTTTACTGTTTATTACAGAAAGAGACATGTAGAGACAAAGTGTTCCATATGTGTGCTGCCTCCTTCCTGTTAGAAACAAGAACAAACCTTGATTGCTGTGTATCTTCTACTCATTGTTTCATTTGTTAGGCATTGCTATCTCAGCTTTATGATAGAGTAATAAAATGCTTTCCAAGGTATGTATGCATTCACCTGTGGAAAGAAACTACAGTGAGAATGAAATCTGATGGATAGGAATAATGACAAGTATTGGTAATCACAGAGGAACATACACAGTTATTAAGTGTATTCATTGTAAATATATGCATACTAGTGTTAAAAAAATTTGAAAATAAAACTGATAAACAAACATGAAATGTTGGGGTTTAATTTTTAAAAAAGTTATTTAGAATTATAAGATTTAATACAATTGTGGGAAACACAATGCTTTAATGCTAAAATCAATTTAGATAAAGGGAGTCTTCCTTACTGTGGACTTTTAGGGTAAGATACGAGATTTATGTTAGTGGGAAGTGATGATGGAGGTTAAGGCAGTTTAGCCTCCCTGTTTAACACCAGCCAGTGCATTGCATGCTTCCACCCTATGATGCTGCCAAGCAGCTGCACAAGGCCCTTGTTTAGATCAGAGCAATATCCATTCCTTTGGGCAGCAGTACAAAGAACTTGGACTTAAATCTTTCTCACATTTCTTGCTTCACTCCAGTCATTCTGAAATTGCTTATCAAAGCCTTCTCATCTGGGGATGAATTCACACCAGAACCCAAGGCCTGTGCAATCCCTGATTTGGAAAGTCATAAAATGAGGCCAAAGTCTTAATCTGAATTTTCTAAGCATTTTGTATAATCAGGTTTGTGCAATTGTAATTCCAATATGCCAACTGACCAAATTTCCAGATAAGGTTTTGGGTTCCATCCATCACATACTTACATTTATAGATGCATTTATAGCTGGCATGTAGAAAATATCTTGTGTTTTTCAGTAGGAACAAAAACTGAATCAACAAAGTTTGATATGCACTTAATGTCATATGCTTCAGATTTTTGTATGAGTTTGTTAACCTGTAAGTTCATTTAATGTAATTTTTCCTGTTCATCCCTTAGGAGATTGATCAATATAACGGTTTCAATATTCCCCTGAGAATGAGAAAACCTCAGGAATTCCATGACATGGGACTAAAAAGAGGCTATGATTATTACTTTTTATAAAATGTGTCTTTCAAACTGCATTGTCCAGTAAAGGTTGTGAACAGACACTTTTCTTCTTTTTTGTCATGTCTAGAACTCTTCTCAGTTGTTTTTCCTGAGTCTGTGCAGATCTACAAATGCACTTCAACTCTGATGCAAGGGACAGAGGGATGAAAGCTACTACTCATTTCTCTGCCAGCTGCAAGTGCATGTATTCACTTACTTGGTCAAATACCATTGCAATGGATTCTTATGAGAATTTAAGTAAAAAGATGCTAAATCCTCCGACACTGTAAATGTGCATCCTTCAAATTAAGAGGCCATAATGATTACACCACTGAGAATCTGGTTCTTTGAGTTTGGAAAAGTGCATTCCTCTAGCTAGCTTAACCACCTCTAAATTTTTGCTTCATGTGTATTGCCAGCCCTAACTATTGGGTCTGGAGACAAAGATCTGTCCTTATTATGTTCTGGTTTTGTATGTGAAATTATAAAGTACTGGGAGCAGCTCTGCAGGTAGAGCAGCCTACAAAGACAGTCCCTAATGTGGCAATATATTAGAACAGTGCTTGTGCGAGCAGATTGTCGGTAGCTTTTGGTCAACACTTCTTAGTCTGGACAATTTGTGACTTGGTAGGCTGATATTTTTTGCCATCTCCAAAGAACAGTATCAAATATACTCAATTTAAAAAATCGTAAGGGAAGGGAATTCCAGCCAAGAAACTAGTGGTGTGTTTGTTTTTATTTTATTCTTAAAACAATGCTCAAATGATCACTTACTTAAAGAACCAGGTTAATTTGTGCTGAAATATTGAGGACATCTTTTTGAAGCTTTTTACTAATTTACAGATCCCTTGTATAGTAAGTTGTAACAGGTAGAGCAATGTAGTCCTAATGACAACTGAAATGGTTAACCCCTATTTAAAAAGGCTGTTTTTAAAGATACCACATCTTGATATCATTGACCTTCTAATTTGGCTAATTTTATACATTAAATGTTTTAGATCAGACTTAACATGATTTAACTGAAACTTTCCTAGTGTTAGAGCTCTTCAAAGTAACTTCCAACTTTTGAAATCACTGTGAATCCAATTAAAGCTGTTAAATTTAAATGTACATAGGGATTTACTGAGAGGGGTTTAATTTTGGATAAATGTGGTCTAGCTTTTGGGTAAGGCTTTTCCTATGGATGTTCTATTTCGCTTACACCTTGCACCTGCATATTGTTTCTGCACTGATAACAATAGGCACAGTAGGCACAAACCATTTTTGTTTGCATATATCCTGCATACACAATAGATCCTGCATACACAATAAATGCAGTAATCATAACAAGAGCTAGCTGGGGGATGGATGTCAGCCACTGTAGCCCTGTATTCCTCTGTGACCTAACACCAGGAAAATCTAAAGGGTTTGTTTCAAATTGTAAGGATCCAGAATAATGGGGATATACTCTATTACTGTTGCTGTTTGACAGAGAGGGTATAATAAATCAACATTTAATTTAAAACAAACAGAAACATAGTTATTTAATGTACTCAAACATTCTCCCCTTGTGCTTGAAATCTAAGCCACCAGTGTTTTATTACTGCATGAACACAGAGTAAACATATTATTTTCTTCTCTTCTATTGCTTTGTACATCTGCTAGTTACAGCTGGATTTTAGCAAAACAGGGAAAATGAGAATTATAAGAATTCTAAATTCTTCATTGTCAAACCTATGTGATAATAAATAGTGAAAATGGACTTGTCAATGCTATCCTAGAGAAAAAATCTGATTTTTTGCTGCTAATCTGGTCCCTGACTGTATCTTTGAAATATAGTTAGACTTGCACAATATGAAGATGAGAAAATATTTATAATGATATGAAATATATTTTGGCAGCATCTTTTTTTACTTGAGTTTCTAGCTGAAGTCAGAATCATGAAGTTTTAGAAAGCTATTATGGAATATCCTCTTCCAAGAGATATACCCGGGAAAAAAAGTGTTTTACTCTGAGTTTTCTATGGTCATTTTCATAGCATCACTAATAAAAAAATTAGAAAACAAGAGTTTTATGTAGGGGACTGTATTAAAAAAAATTACTCTGTGCTTCAAGGATGAGCTGTTAGGGAGAAGGAAATATCCTCCAGGTTCAGTTTTCTGCTCCTTGTACATGTTGAATGGCAAACTCGGTGCTTCAGGAAAGAGGCATGTTGTGATTCTTGTTTTGGTAAGGGCTTAGACCTTAGCTGTGCAGTGGTATCTCCTGCATGGATCCTGTACAGCAATAAGAGTTTCACCATTGTCAAAAAACTAACAAAGAGAACTTCCACACAGAATGAAATAGTATCATTTTTCGCTAATTTTAACCTCAAATTTACAAATTACATCTCTTAGAAGAAGATACTTTCATTAATTGGCCCAGCACATATTCTGCAAAACAACAGTGTGACTTCATGAGAAGTTCAGTTGGTGTAATAATTGGTTATCTGAATCTACATATCAGCCAAATAGATCCAAGTGAAAATTGGATTAACCATTTTAATGAGTAAAAATGGCAGGGGGATTCATTACATCAGTAACTGAATTTTGGACTAATACTAGTTCCAAACATACAGCAGGGCAGTGGGGGACAAATATGCATTAATTCTCTCCTTCAGGGGTCTGTGACCATTGAAATATATGATGGCTAAGATACAGTTTTCTTCTGTTTTATTGTAGTTCCTTTATGCAACTTACATTGCTCCATCTGCCAGTATGGACACTGGACTTCATCAGAATAAGAAAAATAGGATTTATCAGAAAATTGACCCAGCTTTTGAGGACCTTTTTGACCCAGCAGAAGAACATATTCTCACTGTCCTGCTGGAACCATGGATGAAGATGGTGGAAAAAGACAAATACACTTACAGAAAGGTAGCATCTGGATGACATAATGAAAAAATCTTAGGGAAGAAAATCTCAAGATCATTCATATGCAACCCTGTTGTGTTTATACTCCAGAAGAGAGAAGTATTACAAGATGTTTTACTTACTCCTTTCTATCCTGATATGTAGAAATAGGCTGAGCTTCTTGTGGAGAGCAGACTTCTCATCTGAAAGGAAGGTGTGGGCATCATAGACTCCTTGGCCTGTGAACTGGGGAGAAACACATCTTGCTATGGTAAAATTTATCTTTGCACTCAGGAATTTTCATGTTTCTGCAATCATACCTTTGATCAGAGATATTTTTTTTATGATGGATTGCCCACAAGCACTGTGTTTTTAGTGATAAGCACATAGGTGTATTTTTAGTGTCAGTGCAGTGACAGTAGGTATTTCTGGTGCTTAGAATTTAAGTGCAGCTACTGCTTAGCATAGAGGAAATGTGATACGGTGATTTAGCTGTTTTTGCCCTAAACACTTTTTGGATTGCTGCTCTAAAAAAGTGGCTCAGAGGTGTATTGAGTTCTAATCCCAAAATGTTCTGAAAGCTTGAATTGAGCATGCTCATGGAGGTCAGAGGAGACGGCTGCAATCCTGCCTGTGCCTCTGACAAATAACAAGAAATGGTGATGACAATGGTGGATACTGTGGCTCTCTGTTCTTTGTAAACTTACCTACAAGTTGCTGGCTGAAGGTCCGACTCCTTCTAGGTGCCGCAATATGAGAAAGATACAAAGCTATTGGAAAGTGTCCAGAGGAGGGCTATGAAGGTGGTGAAGGGCCTTGGGGGGGAGCCTATGAGGCCTGAGGCCGCTTGTTCAGCCTGGAGAGGAAGAGACTGAGGTGGTCTACAGGCACCAGTCTCTTCTCTGTGGTGCCCACAGGACCCCAGGGAATGGCCCGAAGTTGTGTCAGGGGAGGTTTAGGTTGGATATTAGGAAAAGTTCTTTCACCCACAGGGTGTCTGGGCACTGGAGCAGGCTCCCCAGGCCAAGCACCAAGCCTGACAGAATACAAGAAGTGCTTGGACAATGCTCTCAGGCACATGGTGTAACTCTTGGGGATGGTGCTGTGCAGGATCAGGAGTTGGCTTAGTGATTATTGAAGGTCCCTTTAACTCAGGATACTCTATGATTCTAATTTCAAGTCTTTAGCATCTCTCTCTTGGCTATAGAAGGAGAAACTTACAGTGGAAAATCAGGAGACGGAGGGCAGGAAGTTAGTTCTTGTTCCTGTTTTTCTTCACTATGACCTTAGATGAAGCATCTCCAATTTATATGAAATATCATCACTTACTGCTGATACTTCTGTTGGCTTGTAATAACTCCACATTACCCCCTGCAAAATATTTTGAAATCTACTTTTGCAGAAGTTTTGTAGTACAGTCTATTTTTGGTTCTATATCATGCATGAATGTAAGAACAACTAGATGAATTGATACTTAAAAGCAAAGTTGAGAATGGTCTTCTAGCCAGTATTAAATGTTTAATAACAGAGTATAAGAACAGAAAAGAGATATACAGCCATCTTCAGCACTTTGCAGACAAGAAAGTTCATGGAACAGAGGTCTTATCCGTATTCTTGATTTTCATAGTCTTTGATGAGATTTTTTTCCCCCATGGGTTTCTGTAAAATCTATCTCGAGTGATGTATCTTCAGCATCACTGTAGAAGTGGGTTTCATGGTTTAGTCATGCAATAGGAGAAAAAAAATGCATATCTTGATTTGTTTGCAAACACCTCCCTAATAATTTCACCTTCTCCCCTAGTCTTGTGTATCACAACAAACAAGTGAACAATTATTATCTTGTCCTATTCTCAATGTTGCTATGCTTTTACAAGTTTCTGTTATATCCCACTTCAATTAGATCATCTTGAAACTCAAGAGTTCTAGACACTTTGGCCTCTCCTCCTACAAAAGGTGTTCCATACCTTTGTTGCACTTATTGCCCCATCTGTGTGTGTTATTTGATAGTCTTTTGATGAGATGCAAGCAATACTCAAAGTCTGGATGCACTAAGGATTATCCAGTGGCAGAACCATGTTTTCTGTTATGCTCTTTGTCCATTCCTAATTGTCCCTATCATTCTAATTGTCTTTTGACTCTTGGTGAACTTTGAGTGGATGTGCAAAACGTAAGCTAATAGCCATCTGCAATGATTCCAAGATTTCCTTCCCAAGTAATAACTTCTAATGGAAAGCCCTATTTTGGAGCTCACTGGAATGACTTAATGTTTATTATCGTTGAATTCAGCTGGTCTTTTATCACGCAGATGCTAAAGTGTCCTGCTATCCTGCAGCTTTTCACAGTCAATTTAATTTTTTGCTTCATGGAATAATTTTTCCAACTTTGTTGTCTCCTCACTCACCTTCTTTTCCAGATAGTTTCTGAATGTTTAAAAAACAACCTCAGTGCAGGTCCCTGTGAGACTCCAATAGGAGCCCCACCCCATAATGAAAGTTATTTATTTCTTTGGTTTTGATTTTCTACCTTCTAGTTAATTCGCAAGGGGACTTTCCCTCTCATCCTGTGATAACATAATATCCTTTAGAAGTTTTGAAACTTTGAGAAACTTAGTGAAATGAAATATAGTAATCCAAACACATCTGTAAAATATTTTCTTTGCTTTTCAACATCTTTTCTAACCCTTCAGATAAATTATTTTTTCTAAACTATTTCAGCTATAATTCATTATGTCCTGTAGTGCACCTTGGAGTTGATTGATACTTTTAATGAATCTGAGATTTTATGTAATTTCTATCAGACTAATTTTAGTCTTTTGTAATTATGTATTTTCTGTGTGTACTATCTGTAAGAGTAGTCTAGTGTCTACTGCCGGTCCTCCCTGAGTCAAATCATCAGTACAGCTAAGAGTTTTCATACATTCATTGTTTTTACATAAAAAGGAGTCTGATTTAGAGCTCTCTGTTTTCACTGCTTCTAGTGCAAAGTAAGAATTGAAGAGATATGCTTTTCATTGCAGTTAATATGTGTGTCAGTTTATATCTCCTTGAGTTAAACACAGGATAATCTATTGTCCTTTCAGTTTGGAGGATGCGTTACTTTGCAAGTGAGGTTACGTGCAGACTTTTCAGTGCTCTAATAACACAAAGATCTTAATCCGGGCACGAAAAAACAATGAAATCCTTTTGACTGCACAATACAAGTGTTTGTGAAGAGTTATAATACACAGACATAGAACAACCTGTTCTAGGAGGCACTAGAGTCTCTTTGTACTAGGTGCAGGCTGATAGTTAGGCACACTCTTTCCCAAGCACAAAGACAACGTCTGCTTTGTATTTTGTTCAGTCCCTGGCTCTACTCTTCCCCTTTGTTCTACTCTATATCAGGACGTATTTGGCCCATTATGAAACAAGATATTATATCAAGAATTAGGTGAGTCCAAAATTGTTTATTTGGGACATGTTCAATATATATAGTTTTTTCTTTAAATGAAACATGAAATCAAGAGAGTTTCTTTTTGCTGTTGACTCTCATTCAGCCTCTATCTGCTTTCTCTTTAAACTTTATGAAAAATGTTCTGAATTATTATTTTACTATTTAATTTTAAACTATATTTTCTTTTAAGGGAAAGAATAGCCCAAAGCACTTTATAACAATGGAATAAAGTTACATTGAGCTTGAAGACATTCAGATAACACAGTGATTAGTGTGGTATTCACATTTAGATGAAAGTATCATGAATATTAATCTAAACATTCTCATCTCTCTCTGGCACATAAACACTTGTATAAGATAATCACAGCTCTCTAATCTTTGTAAAGGGTATGCAGATCAGTGTAAGGCATTGGCTCGATTTTCCTAAATATCCTAAAATCTGCACTGAAATCGTTTAGTCAGCCAGGAGGGTCACCAGATATCTCTTTTACAGTTACTGATTGTTTGTACATAACATGAAGAACTGCACTAGCTACATACGGCTTCTAATTAAGTTAAAAAATGCCAACTTAGTGAATTCAAATCACACACAGTTAATAATTTAAGAAAGGGGACAAGACTGAAAGTCAAAAAGCTTTCATCTTTATTGTTTAGATATTTTAACATCTTTCTCATCTTAAATTTCTGTTTCTCCAAATCTGTGGCACTCTGTCTTCTTGACATTTCCCACTGAGAGTCCCAAGTTCGAGAAATGATTTTCTGCTTCTCAGTGGCAGTTTGACATACAATTTGCTGGTATAGGCAATCAGGTATGTCTGACCCAATATACACCATATAATATATGCACAATATACACGATATATTTTGTACACATTAAAATTTAGCAATTTTAAAAATAAAAGTTATTTGCCTAAAGTTATAGTTAGGTTATTTAGTAGTATTCCGTAGAAATCTGCATCTGATCCTACACAGATGCGAAAAGTTTTTTCTACCAGAGCTATTGATAGAATTTTTTGTCATAAGAATGTGACTTCTTGTGTCTTTTAAACATCAGTCTCATTACTGGCAAATATATGCTTTTCTATCCACTGTCACTGGCAAAGTGCCCATGTAGTTCTCCGTCTTTCTATAATGTGTACTGTAGGGTTGATACAAGATATTATTTTTATTAGGTGGAGTTGGTGGAAGAAACTCAACAGCTGGACTACGTGTACTTTAGAGAGCTCCAGGCTTTGAATCAAGTGAGCAGTTCCAAGAAGGATGAGGTAAGATAAGTACCTATTAACAAAAACAAACCCTTTCTCTGTCATGGGGGGAATCACACTTTGAGTATTAGCAATGAAAAGCTGACCAGATGCTAGTTTGGAGAAGCAAATGGTCTAATTTCTACCATTCATTTTGGGAACTGATTGACAGCCATTGTGTTGATTAGATACACAGGTCTTCTGTCAGTTCCATCAACATCAGACCTAAGGTCTTTGGGCCCCAACTCTTGAGTAAATGTCTCCATTTCAAGTGAATTACAGGTATACCTTGGATTATTTGATTATGAAACCTGCAGACACTGATATGTTTAAGCAAACATAAAAGTAAAACTTACTAAGAGCTGGAGCCTTAACTCAATTTATTTTCATAGTGATTATAAAGCTATTTTAAAAAGATAGGTTATCTATTGCAAGGATTATTAGACTGAGCAAAATACAGAGGTGAAAAAAACAGTTATGCAAGCAAAATAATTTCTCCCCTCAGAGTATTGTTGCTGACACGGGGGCTCTCAAAGAAGATCACCGCTTGCATCAAGCTCCCAAAGAATTGGCAGGTCCTAATCTGTCTGACCTGATCCATGACAAAGAGAAGTTAAAACAGTTCCAGACTTTTCTTAATAAGCATTCTGCTAGGTACGTTTCTTCATTAATATTATTTTACTTGTTTCTAAGTTCAGAAGAAATATTTGCTAATGATCTTGGCTATCTAAATGTTGACAGATTTTAGTATTTTAAAAAATGTTTTTGCATATTTATGAAACACAGACACATTTTTCAGACAACTGAATTGTCTTAACATGTTTGGGGTAAAAATTCTCCTGTCAAAACATTTTTGTATTACAGTTCTGCTTTTAGTTTCTGCTATGATTAGTGGCAAACTCCTGACTAGAACAACTAGCCTATAATGAGTAAAATTTTCTCTTTTTTAGTACAGATTCAATTTAGTACATTTTAAAAATTAAAGCTGGTTATTATAAAAATATACAAATAGAAAACAGGCATGTTATTCTCACAGTGTGACAGCAACCACAGTTTTGTGTTTGCTGAACAGATTTAAGTACTGGCTTTTAGAAGATACAGTGTTAGGCAGAGCCTTTGAAAACGTGAGCCTTGTTTGTTTGAAAAGTAAGATCTGAACAGAAACTGACACTTTTTCTTTTGTCTTTAAATTGTCACTTTCTTCCTTTAATCTGGCTTCCCATGAGTTTATGCTTGGTATATTGGCTGTTGCTTCTAGTCAAGCACTGCTATAGCTTTACATTGAATATTGGTCATCTTTTTCAAAACTGCCCAGAAAGGGACATTTGGCACAAAACTCCTCTGGCCAAGACTCAATGTCATCACTCCTGCTTATCATCACATAGGTTCTCTTTGCAGTGAGAGAGAAATACGCACTTCTGGACACAATATTCCGAAGGTAAAATCTAAAACAAATTTGGATGGATCATTCCTAAGATTACTGACTACAAAAGGACTGCAGATAATGAGTTCAGATGGAAATTCTTATGGTGTAGCTGCCTATAGTCTAGTGACTTCTGAGTTAATTGTCTAGAGCAGTGGTCTCCGAACTTCTTGCTCATGCATCTCATTAGTAAAAACTTTTTGAGCATGGAACCCTAGTGTGTGTATATATATACACATTTTTTTATACGTTATATACATGTGCTAATGAAGTGTTAATATTTTCTTCCTGCACACATATTTTCTTCTTGCACACCCCCTTCACACATTGCAGTTCAGAGACCACTAGTCTTGAGTTTTTCTCTAAGTGGGAAAATGGTAGGAATCAGCAGATAGCAGGTCATGAACAGGTACGCTGAATTACCTCTGGTATTTCCTGCTTTGTTAATCACAGACAAGTCCCATCTTAAGTGGTAGAGCCAGGCAGAGAAATGTTTAACTTATGAAGCTCTTCTTTTTTTTTAATAAACCTTCATAATGAAGAAAAACATTTGAAAAAGTCTCACAAAAGCGTTTTAGGGCTGAGTCCAGACTAGTTACTCTGGAGTCCAGTTGGCATGCTACAGTAAAGGTGCTTAATGGTACTATAAGCTGAAGGGATCCTGGAACTAATGCAGTCTGGAAAATTTCAGAAGAAATCAATGAACACGTCATTTGCCTTTTCATCAAAACTTATGGTTCTGATAATGTCCAATTGTAAATGATCCAAGTTTCAGGAAGCACAGGCTGCTGAGTACCTGTGCGCAAATTCTGTTAAGAAACTAAACAAAGCTCCATTAATTAATACTTTGTTAAATATATAGGATATATTCACAAAATTGTAGGACAATTTGTGTTACTTCAGGTTAGTGAATTACCGCTTGTTAGTCTCGCCAGGCTAATGGACTATGGATGTGCTTCTAATCCAGTATGCCAGGATAAGATACCACTAAATGGTTTATCTAACACACTTGAAGATTATATATTTTACTTTTTAAAAGGTGCACATATTTGGTCAGTTGTCATAGGTAGATGCCAAGGAGTTATACCACAAACCACAGTAATTTGGATCACTTGCATTTGGGTGAACTTAGTCATGTTGTGATGAACTAGCAAATGAAAGAATTTCAGTCTCAATAGAACTTAGGGTTCTGTAAGGATCTCAAAAGACTTTTGAAAGGAGAACATCTGTTCTTAAATCAGTCAGATGCTTTTGAACATTCTACTCATAGATTAATGTTTTGAAAAAGCCAGTTATTAACCAAATGGAAAACTGAAACAGATTTGTCTGAATTCAATGTTTCATATTTCCTGCTGCAGATACAGTGAATGTACTTACTAAAATGTCCATATAATTTCAGCTAATAAGATACTGTCAGAAAACAGTCAAATAAATTAAACTGAAATTGCAGATATGTCATTTACTCTGTTGTCTGGTTTAGAGAACAAAACCATTCTATGATTCAATGAAAACAAACTTAAATTTATATTGTACACTCAAATATTATGAACAATACATAGATTGAGAATTGCATAATTGAAATGATTTGTCACTGACTGTGACTAATGAAATAAATAGTAGAATTGGAAAATTATGAGAAAGCAGACCACAAAAAGCCCTAGAAACAAATTTTGCCATTAATTGTTTTTATCTGCTCAGCTGCAGACTGACTTAAACTCTAGCACTTCACACAGGCAGGAAGGGGTGATTTCTTGGGCTGATGTTCCCAGCTGTCATCCCTGCTCCTTTCTCAGGCAATATAACAAGGAGGCAGAGCAGGAGGCATCAACTCGTCTCTCAGGGGCTCACAGCCTCAGTACTGATTCAAATTCTGTTTCACCCTTCATTCTCTTTGTGAGCTCCGCACAATGGTTCTGATCCACAGTCCCTGCTGGATTTAGCAGTGGCATATTGAGGAGGTTACTCCTTTCAGGGTACCCCCAGATGGCACCCTAAGTGAGATGTCTAAGATGAAAGTTTGCTCTGCCTGTCCAGCAAGTACCATGGTCTCAGCAGATGGTACTAGCAGAGAAAAAAATGACAAAAAATTTCAGCCCAATCTGACATGGTATTTCGGAGTTGAATACTTTGGTATGTTATGGTTGTGGTTAAACTAGTAACTCCTTAGAATGTTGATGAGATTAACTCAATATTGAAATAACATTCTGTTTAAATTTGTTTGTAGCATGGATCTCATGTGCTGGCTAGATATTGAAGAGTTCAGAAAGATGCTCCAAAAGGATAAAGAAAAAAGTCATGAAAAATCTAAAGACATTAAAACCAAATACTTAAACAACAAGTACTTCTTTGGACCAAACAGCCCAGCTACCAGAGAGCAACAAGAAAAGGTAGCAGTTACAGAGCCATTCATAAAGAACAATCACTGTGACTGTGATAAAAATCCACAAGTGGGTCTGCTCCATCTTTTCCTCAAACTATTTCCTCAAATATTACCTATGTTTTTGGCCAGAAATATGGTTCTATTCTGGTTGTATAAGTCCCTTCCTTCCTGTTCAGGCTTTTCCTCTCTATCTCTTACAGAATATCTCTCCTGAACTGTGATCTGAGGCCACAGCCGGAGTATGCACAAGATAGCTCAGAAAAAGTGTAAAAAATGACTTTCAGGCACAGTGACTTGTTCCAGCTTTCTATTTTAGTATTCCAGTAAAGCCACAGACAGCAAGTCTGAGCTGTGGTGCTCTGATACATCTTGATACTTAGGCAATTTACTTGGTCAAGCTGGGGTATTATTCACCAGAGTCTGTATCCTATTATAGGTAGGGATAAATGTAATCTGTTCCCTTTTATGAAAAGTACATGTGAGCCTTGGGTAAGCATGAATTAAGTGCTTTGCTTACAGTTAAGCTCATGCTTTGCTAAATCAAGGATGTAGAGAGATAAAGGACTTTTGATATACACAAACGTTTATGTCATGTGTTATTGTATTTGGATTGCTTAGCTAATGCATTCAGGTGGAGGAAGGAGACAAAGCCTTCATGATCAATTTTCGGCAGCAGTTCTGCTAGAGGTTCAGCAATTCGTCCAGAAGAGATTAGAAAAACAATGGCTGCCATTGTTCCTGGCAGATAAACACCATGGGGCAGAGGAGCAAGCAAAGGTAATTTTTTAACAACAGTAACACATACAGGCATTGTTTTTTGTTTGGCTCATAATTTACCATTGGAATAGAAAGATTCAGAGGAAAAGCAGCCTATAATTTACTTTCAGTTACATTGAAAGAGATGCTGTAGCATGTACAGGTTGAAACATTTATCTTGGTAAGTGTGAAGGCAGTTCATCTGAAGGCTTAGTTTAGCTGACAGTATTACTGTTAGATACCAAATCTGAAGCAGCTGGTGTTAGCTCTGCTGCCATCCAGGCTGCCAGGAGAGTGACCTAATTTTTGCTGTACTGCTACACTCTCCCTATGCCATTTTGCCTTAGCCTTACAGTTGCACACTGAAGAAACACTGCTTTGTGTAATGGATTTTTCCAAGGGGACCAGAACAAAGCAAATGAGTGAGCTTCCCATGCCATAATTCTTTCTCTTATGCTGTCTACTTCTCCCATCTGGAGCTGCAGTGCCTGTAGAATCAACTTCAGGACTTGTGAAATTCTTCTGAGTAGGGAGGTTAACTGCTACAAGCCTTGCTCAAATTGGTTACTTCAGAAAGTTGCCAAAAAGCTGGGAGTGAGGAGCCTTTCACTCCTGCTGGTTCATTAGAAAGACTGAGGAATGGGCAGAGCTAACATCTGCCTTTTATGAGTGCCTCTGTGGCTGTGATCCATGTAAGGGGATCATCCTGCTGGTGACAGAGGCAAAGACTTCCCTTCCACAACAGCTCTGACATGTGAATGTCATAGCAGAAGGAAACTTCAAAATTCAACAAAGCAGCCACATGCAACTGCATTGATTCATGAAACTTGTTTTCTATCATCTTTGTAACATCATGAAGCTAGTCAGAAGTGTTAGAAGTGCATGTAAACTGAATCTTTTCCATTGATTCAGAGCATTAATCAATCTGAAAAGTATAGGTTTTAATAAGAAAAACTGTAATTTTAACAATTATTATGTTAATTAAATTTTAAAAAATCCTAACCCTCTGCCTTTTTTAAGCTGAACTCTGCCTTCTTTACAAGTCCTGGCAGAAGACCAATAAGGTTAAGCTGCTTCCAGGTCTGGAAGCTAACTCATGCCTCTTTTTGCACCTGCTGCGCTGTGTTAGCAGGGAGATTAGCCCAAGTAGTTTAGAAAATACTGTATTCAACTCAAAAAAACAGTTTACAGGAAAGACATACTTCTAATGAGCTTTTAGTCATTCCCTAACTCCATTTATGTCCAATTGCTCTTTTCTCTTTCTTATTGAAAATTCAGAGGATGAAAGGATTCTTTGAAGAAAGTATTTTAGAAGAAGTGAAACCAGATGACATTCTCCACTGGCTTTATATTTCACAGTGACAAAACAGTGTGGGCATGCTATGTAGTCCTTATTCAGGGAACCTACCCTTTGTTTGAGGTGTAATTTAGCTACAAAGAAGTTGCAGGATCAAGTCTGTATTTCTGATACAGCTGTACAAAGGAACTAAAATGATTTAATATTTTAAAAAAATCAAACCCAAAATTTATTTATCACATAAGTGGTCCCTCAGAACATTATGGGTGCAGTAAACTCCACCACCAGTGGAATGCATAGTTTGACTGTTATTGCCTCTTGTCTTCTGTGATTCCCCAGTCTTAATGAGCAGGTGCTCATTTATAGCTGAAGAAGGGACGTCATTCTGTGCGAGTCCACAACTAGTTTCAGACATAAAATCCATAAGAAGACATATAAACTATTCTGCCACTGGGTTCTTAATCATTAAAAGGCTAATAAAAAAAATATTCAAAAAATAGAATAATAATCTTTTGTTCAACTATAGATAAAGGACATAACTGAACATCTTTCACACAAAGACCAGCAAAAGACAACCAGGATGTGGAAGGCAAGTGAAATTTACTGTGTCTCTTGTGCCTGCAGATTCACAGTCTTTTTCCTCTGGACCTTGCACACTCTTCACAATTTCCCTGTTGACAGTGTGTGACCCAAATGTAATGTTGTTAAAAGCAATCATGACTGTACTGGTTACAGTGGACTGATTACTCACATTACTCCTGAATTTAGCTCCCTGCTAGATGTTCATGGTAAATTTCTCTCTCTTTCTGTCTGGTTGAGGTCATACTTGAAAATAAAGGTCTCTTGTCCTGGGCTTTGGAGCACTATTAACACTCCTTAAACTAATACTGGACATTTAATTCAAATTTATCTGTATTTTGCATGCGGTGGACTTATTTGGACAAGCTGTTCATTCCAGCATCTGGTAGTTTATTTATTGTTGCAAGTGGATTACGTGCAGACACAAAAGGGAATGTGAAGTATGCAGCAGAGTGGGCAGGTTTAATCATATCTCACAGTATCTGTTTAATTTAGAATTGTATTTTAATCTCACAGCACTGAGATAATATCAAATTTAAACTTTTTAAACCTTTGTAATAATAGATTTCATCAGATGTTTGCCAGTTTTTTTTCCTCTTCAAGAGCAGTGAACTTTTTGTGATTGCCAACATACAAGTTGTGTACATATGTTCAGTTGAACTTTTATTGTCTGTTGAAATCAAACTAGAGACCAGGTCACCAATTATCCATGCAAACCATCAGCACAAAAGGGATCCAAAGTGCATGTGGGTTCTGTTAACTGAGTTTTCCCTTTGTCTGTCAGGAAGATGGTTATTCTCCATGTTCTGCTTCAAGGTTGTTGACCCATAAAATAAGCAGTGTTTATATATTGGTATAGGGATGGAAGCAATGCTTTGTTCTTCCTTTCATGAAGATACCCTAGAAATAATTTTTCTCAAAAGTCCCCTAAATTCTAGTCACAGGGAATAGAACATGTTTGGAGAATTGGAGAAGGGCTGAGAAGATCCAACCCTACTGCCTAAACTGAGCTACCTTTATTTTCACCCAAGGACCCTCTGGACAGCCACCACCCTCCTTGCCAGGGTAGGCTGTCACCCCTAGCAGGCTCTGTGACAGGACACTGAGCATAACCCCTATTTTTAAGATAAGTTGCAGAAACCCTTTCAGCTTAGGATCAGGTTAGATTTCCAGGACTTTTGGCAACAACTAAAAATGTTTCTGACTGATGCTCACCATTGAACAGCACTCCACCCCTCTAGGACTTGAAGAGTTTTAAACCACTTTTAGATGGTTTCCATTCATCCATCTGATAACAGAAAGGGGTTGTTTGGCTTGCTGTTCAGCAACAGCACAAGAACTGTTTGTTCAGGAAGGCAGGCCAGCATGAACTTCAGTTCAAACAAACTGTCCCGGCATAAGCCATCTTTCTTTCCCCACCCTTTCCTGGCTGCCTACTGTTCTGTGCTTGGCAGCGTGAGGATTTCCTAAATGTCTCAATGACTTTATTTTACTATTGGTAGCTTTATTTCACGGAGAGCAAACTCTCTGGCTTCTGTGGGTGATCATAGCAACACATTTCAGACCTCATTTTGTTGGTGAGATCCCTGTCAGAAGCATTTTACAGCTTTAAGCTATGTGGTTTGTGTTTTCCTTTTCCTTTGTTGTTTGTTTGCATAAAACTCAAACTGTTCTCTAGAAAAGTAGCCCATTACCATAATCAATAACAAGAGCTGTTTCTATACTTTGTAGTATGCAGTCATATGGTCTAAATCATTGTCAGTCATTTCCTCTCCATCACATCTTCCAAAAAATGTTCCCCAAACCAAACCGGGGGAAAAAAAAAAAAAAAAAAAGGAAAAAAAAAAAAAAGGAAAGGAAGAAATGAGACCTTGCCACATTTTATTGTATCCATGTCATGAACTCATAAACTACTGAAAGTTAGGGTCAGTGCAAAGATAAGAATCAGACAGTTTACACTAACTAATGCCTTTGTTATTGCTTTTTGAAACAAAGTTTATTTGGTGCATCTATTTCTTCTTTTGACAGCATGTGGACAATAAGAGTATTTCTTCATCTAGTGAAATTATTGCTTTCCGCAAGGCGCTGTTGGATCCAGTGACAGCAAATCTGTTTCAACACTTTGTGGCACTGAAGGGAGACCTCCTGGGGAACGGAGTGCTCTTTTGGCAAGAGGTGCAAAAGTATAAGGTATGGTGGTAAAACAGAGCAAATGGAATAGCATTCAATTTGTAAGCAAATGCATCCATTCTTGCATATTAGGAGAATTTTAACAAAAATATCTATGGGCATTATGTTGTTCATAGTAAAGCTCTTTTGCTGTTTAAACTGGTTTTTTTTTTTTTTTTGTCAGTGAAAATCCTCACTTCTGAAGAGTAGCTATTCTTGACTCAAATTCATTATCCCTGTATTTCTTTATGCTTCTTCAAACTGTAGCATTCTGAGTCTCTAAAGGAGCACTGCTATCTTGCTAAGGCCCAGAGTTTGGTATACATCTGTTGAGCAATAGAAATATGCAAGCATTAAAATGTTCATTCTGTCTTTAAAGCTGCTATCTGAATTTGGTAATTTCTCAAAAAGGAGGTAACTTTAAAATTCAGTCAAATCTACAGATGTAAAGATGGTATCTATCAAAAAAACCCTATATGTACAATGCAGACCACAGCTTCCTAGTATTTTGTATAATCAAATTTGACTTGAGCTGAGCTTGGGACCAAAGTAAAATGTGATGGGTAAAGTCACTGGGGATTATGTCTCTCTCTCTATATGTAGTTTTGTGAAATTGCTTGTGTGGGTTGAAACACAATGGAAAACCTCTGGAGTTAAACTTTAAATCACACTGCAGCCTCCTAGAAATATCCTGGACTGCACAGATCTTTCATGTATTCCTCATTCCTTTTGCCTCTGGGATATTCCTAATGCAAAAGTGCTACCGGAGTGCAGAACCTCTCCTTGGCTCCTGAGCATAGCCTGTGTGGATGTGGCAGGCAGGGAGCATGAGATTAGCCAACGTGCTCAGAAATTGGACTGTAAACACCATTGCTGTTGCAGTAGCACTTGGAGATCCATTGCAGGCATGTGGGTGTACTTTCACTAGTTATTTTTATGAATTTGATTTTGGTGTCTGCTTTAGAAGCTGAAGATCCTGTTTCCAGGGGACAAGCTCTCTTCCCCACAAAGGCTCTGATCCCCAGGCAGGGGATCACTGGCTGAAAAACTCTCTAGGGGTGCTGCTGGCTCTCTCATGGTTACAGAGTGACTAGTTCAGATTAACCCTCTGGTATGAAGGCACCCGGTGTTCCATGACATAAACCCTTTTCTAGATATTTGAAGTTGTTTTGAGACTTGTGATTCTTCATTGCTACATTATGGAGGACATGGAAACTTTCTGCAAATTAATGTGGAGCGTGGTCTTAACTCTTTTTCCTTGTAGAACTGCTTTCTGAAGAAAGCCTTCATTGTTTTTTGTGCCACCCCCTTTCCTGCATTTATGTTAATTTTATTTGTCTTGTTATCCAGAAAAAGTAGAATCTGACCATATTTCTCCATGCATGCAATTTGTCATGGTTGGCAGTTGATGCTCTTTGTAGAAGCAAAGGGCTGGAGCAGTAGGAGTGTTGTGGGTCAGGCTGAACTGCAGGAATATTGCCAAAGGCGTGGGCAGCACTTTGCACAGTGCATACTTGTATTGTCTGAGCCCTATCATGCCATCAATTTAGACAGAACTCCTTTTAGCTGTCAATGACTGCATCACTCCCCATAACCCATGAGGCTGGAGACACATCTTGGGACAATCCAAAAGCAAGATTTTTTTTTTTAACAAATATGAAGAAATATAATTCTGTGGATCATTTCCATCTGGTTATCTATGCTTGGTCTCATCTCTCTTCATATCATATGACTTGCTTGTCTTCTCTCTTATTACAGCTCTCTGCCTTCTATGCTAGATGAGCAAAGAAAGCCATAATATATATTCTTCGGATATACTGAATATGTTTTTGCATTGCCTTACTTTCTTTATTATAGTTGTTATAATTCTTTTTTTTTTTTCCTTCCCAAAACTAAAAATATTCATAACAAAGCAAGCCAACTCTTTCACATACCACATTTCTGGTTAAAAGTCATGGTTTCAATTTCTCTGCAAAGTAAATATATAGCCTTCTATACCAAAACTAAATTCTGATTCTTCATTTAAAGAGCTCTCTTCCTGAAAACTCTTGAGTGCTCATTGTGTTTCTAAGATATACATGACAGTCTTCTAGTGTCATACAAATTTCTTGAAATGTATGGATAAAGGGAAAGTTCATGTTTCGAAGTGTTGTAAGGACACTTTTTGAATTATTTTTTCTTCATGTCAAAGTCCAATGGTGGCATCGTCAGGGTGTCAAAACACAGTAATAACAGACTTTACAAGAACAATAGGATCATATTTAAAAAGTAGAAAACCCCAATGTTCCTTTGACATCTCACTCCCGTAAGTTCAAGTTTGTTTTGTATTCTGTAGTGTACAGAGTTTTTTCAAACCCCGAGGTTTTGGGAAATTAGAAAATCTTAATGAATGGTGAAAGTAGAAGATTTCAAGAAATGGAAGATTGTACTGGTAGCTGACATTGTCCCCTTTTGTGACATTTGTGGTTAGAATATCTTGTACCATCTAAATATTTCCCCTCTTTTTTTTTTTGGAGCACTTAAAACATTTCTTTATCTTTTAGTTATCATGGCTATGCAAGTTATAGCAGGCTCATTGTGAAAATCAGTGCATTTCACACTTGTAGATATGTTTCTCTTTTCATAAATGTCTCCTATTTGCCAGTGTGCACTTTAAATCTATGCTGTTCCATTCAAACATACAGGCAGAGATTATCACCTAAAAGCAATGATTGCTATACATCTGCATTTGCAAACCAGAAGCCCTGTGCATGTCAGAAGTACGGTTTTGACCATGCACATTTACCAAAAGAATTTTGCACTGCATACTGAAAAAAAAATTATTGTATAATTATTTTTGTTTGACTCTTTGATCAGTGGTGCCCTATAAAAGTTCTTGCCTATGTCTCCATTTGACTGAAAATGTTTTTTTTAATCTTTCAGGACTTGTGCCATTCTCATTGTGCTGATGCCATAGTTCAGGAAAAGATCACAGCTATTATTGACTGCTTTATTAATTCTGCCATACCCCCAGCTTTGCAGATTGACATCCCACCTGAACAAGCAAAGAAGATTGTGGAGCATAGGAAAGAACTAGGACCTTACATTTTTAGAGAGGCACAGGTAAGAAACCGAGTGAATCTGTAATAGATCTGGCTAGGGACTGAGTGCCTGATTTTAAAAACAGTCTTCATTGCTTATGTGACAGTTGGGACTCCACACACAAGCCTGGGCTTGAAGGAGAAAGCTATAGTAATATATATCAATGAATGTAAGGTCGAGATGGAAGAGAGTCTTCAGATATGTACTGCTCTAAAGAAAATCTCTGACAGCTAGTTGATCCTGGAAAGGTGTTATCTAGGTCTGTGTTATGAATTCTGGCAGTAGAAATGAATTCTGTCTATGTTCTTAATTGCTTGTTCTTGACCACTTGGTTAATGTCACAGAAGTAATTAGGAGTTAGAAAGTCTGTGGTTTTCATGTTTTATGAAAGATGCAGATGTGAGTAAAGCACAAAGACAGCTTAACTTGCTGAATGTCTTTCCCTCCTTTATTACAGAAAGTATGTATTAAATGGCTGTAGACAATTTTCTCTCTGATCTTTCTATTAATCAGGTTGAATAGCAATTTTGGAACCTTTACTACAGACTTATTATTTTCTTATCCCTTGATACTGCCTTATCTTCTAAGTCCAAGAAAGTATTTGTTTTTCTTTTCCTATATAATTGCCACCAATGCCTTTAGACATCAACTGTGAGTCCATAAAGTGTTTGGATGACAAGAGAAGAATGATTTCTCAGAGAAAAGGGTTCATATAGGTCCTAAGAGAAAGGGAAGTCTTGTTCCAGCCTGTGTAAAACCCAGTGAACTCCAGAAATGTGGCACAAAACCAAAGGAAGAACTAGGCCAAAAAGCTGTGACTGGAACCCGACAGTGGCTCACATGTCACTTTCAAGCCTCTTGAGCCAGAAGCAGTGAGCATGCTTGGCTCCTTTGAAGCCAGGTTTCTCAATGCAAATTAAACATCTAAATAAATTGAAGAATGTGAGCCTTAGTACGTGCAGCAACAGAATTCACTGAGCCCCTCTGTTTGCTTTTCTAAAATTGTTTTTCTTATTCTAGTTCAAAAACGACCCTGTGAGAGATTATATCATTTAAAAATTATCCAAGATTTGCTCATAGATCTGTAATGTGGTTTAAGAGCCTTTCCAGAGGCAAAAAAGTATTTCCTTTCTCTTAAGGAGGGGGAAAAAAGCCCTCTCCCTAATGAACTGAATATTTGAAATATTTGAGCAGAACAGTGGTGCAAAAGCAATTCTACTAGTGTATATTTTATCAAGAATACTTGTAAAAAGTGATGGATGTTTTCATTAATGCAAACAATTGTTTAGGGAAATATAAAAAAGAAAGTGCCTTTTAACTGTGTTTTAGGAAGATTTCTCACCAGTAATAAACACACTGATGAAAAGCATGTGCCGAGCAAAGCTGGGCTGAAATGTCAGGACAGAGTACGTGGGAGGAACAAGGCTGTGTGTTCAAAAAAAATAGTTATCTCATTCTGCATTTTATTTTACAGTCAACTGTTTCCTTAATACGGTCAAGATTGACTTTATTTTCTTCCTGCACAGATGAGTATTTTTGCTCTTCTGTTTAAATTTTGGCCAGAATTTTGTAAATTCCAAAGCAGTCCGGAGAGTAACAAAATTCTAGTTGCCTTGGAGAAAAAAGGAAAAAAAGAGACGCAAAAGAGGGAAGGGATAACAGCAAAGGTAAGGCTTGTAAAGCCTCAGGTGACCGCTGATGACCTCAATAATATGAGCAAAGATACATAAAATAGAATATCCCTTTCCCAGCCTGATCCAAAGCTACCTAATCTTGTTATATATTTCAAGCTTTACATGCAACCCAGTCCTAAGGTGATTAGTTCTCAGTCCTGCCAATACATACATATATGTTTGACTTGAAGCAGGTGAGTCAATGGAATGCTCCTTTCATTATCTACCAGAAGAAAAAAATGTATTTTAGTCACCTTTTGTGCCAAGTGAAGAGTGAAAAAAAAGACTACTTTAAGAACAATAAATATGTGTACAGTCCATGTGTACGGCTAGTCCATGTGGGCTATTGCAGATCTGTTTGCGCTTCATGATGTATTGTCTTATATTAGAATTTACGTTCTGGACCACAACTGAAATCAAACCAAACCCAAATCAAAATTGATTTCATACCTATTTTCCAGAAGGACCATTTGAAAATCCTGCACATTATTAAAAATATATTTATGTGATAATTCCTTTGCATAATCTTAGCCTTTTCTTGAATATTTCTCAGCTGTGAAAGTGAAATTTTCAGACTGTTCACAGCAAGTTTCCAGACAGTTTCAGCAAATTAACAAAACTGACCTCTACAATGGAATGCTTGTTTGTAAAATTGTTTTTCTTGGATTTTTAAAATTAATATATAATGGACTTCTTTTTCTATTGATTATAGGCTTTGAAAAAGTTTATTTTTTATTAAATACAATTGTTTGGCAAGCTTTGAGGAAAGAACATTCTTTTAAGGGCAGAGAACTGGACTTGCAAACTATAATAAGTAGCATTACAAAGACCTTTCCGTATTCTAAATACCATGTAGATGTGTTGAGATGTTCCATGTAATATGAACCACACAGGTATCTGGACAGAGAGAGACACAGGCCCATAAAAACATATATACATTGTTATTCTTTATGCACATGAAAGCTGAGGACCAGTGAAGCATTACTCAAGACCACACACTAATGTCAAGGGAAGTCTAAAATCCAAGAACTCATCTTATTTTCTCCAAAGCACAATGTCGCCATATACATACGTCTGCCAAGGCCATTGGCAATACTGATAGTGCAAGAATGCAATATTTCAAAGTAATAAACTTTTGCATTTTTAGACTTATTTTCCATCTGTTTGTTGCCTGTCTATGATATTTCTGATTAAGATCAAGGAATAAATAGCAAATCTTAGGCAGGAGGGCAAAAGCCTAGCTTTTATGGAGAACAAAGGGGAATGGTGACTTATGCTTCTAAGCAGGGAAATAGAGTAAGAAATTTATGAAAGTGACAGAGAATGCAGCTTAGTAAACAGCTTGTAGACTATTCTTCTCCTCACCAAAAAAAAAAAAAAAAAAAAAAAAAAATCAGTAAACCAGCTACTTTTTAAAATCTTTTAAAAGAATGGGTGCAACACATAATTTTTTCAAATATTTAAAAAATACTTTCCCCTTTCTGGTATTGTTTAAAGAATTTGCCATTTCCTGTTCTATTGCCTGAGATTTCTGTCCTCTCAGTGACAACATAATTCAAATGATGCAGTATCCCTGAAGGATACTGATAAGATTCATCTAACATGAGAGCAATAGCAGGTTCACCTGTTGGCTTGTGGAAGGTGATGATTTCTTGGCAAAGAAAATTAGAACTGTGTTCCTCTGCCCCACCAGGCTCACTGAACAAGAGCAAAGCTCTGGCAAGGGCTAGAAACAGCTTTTTTAATATATATTTCCTCTCCACCCCACAAATCAGTTGCTATTTTGTGTTTATGTCAAACAGCACAATCATAGTCCTGGGGAGGAATTTGCTTTCTTCTTTCATTACACATGTATCCCCGGGGCACTGAATCTACCTGTGCTCATCTCAGTTTTAGAACTGAACAGATAAGAGTGGGACTTTCATGTAGCATAGTGGAAAAAATGGGCAGACAAGGAGCTTTTCACTGAGCAATGATGCAATGATTGGTTTTGTTTGACTACCTCAATATTTTTTGTGTGCCTATTTGTTATTTAAGGGGCAAATTCTGCCAAAGGCATCCTAGAAATTGACTTTTCCCTTTGTTAGCTGCTAGATGCACTTACCACATACTTTCAAATATATAAGTCACTTTTGCAGACTGCTGATGCCAGTACTAGTATTTTGTTATGTACATAACATTTTATCTCCTAAATAGATTTTAGATTTTTTGCTTTCAAGTGCACAAAATAGCTCTAAAATTTTAGCTTTAACTTACATTGTAGATTTGAACATACTCTTTCCATGTCCTTAGCAAAGAAAGCCATCAACATTATTTTCCTTTTCTATGTTTCTGCTATGTCTCTGAGCAATGAGCTTCTTTGTTAGTAAGTGGTGTAATGGCATGGGATATAAATCCACTATAATACTGATTAATTTATTATGAGAAGTCATTTTTAAAGACCTTGCTTAATTCACCATTCTCATTGAGAGAGCCAGCAAACATAAACTGCAGTGCAATAGTATTCACAATACCTCTGTGTTTGCATTGGCATCCCCATTGCACCAACTGAGTGTGCCACAGAAGTTACCAAGCCTGTTTCTGCAGAGAAGAGATCAGCATCACACTGCCTGGGCAGTTCTGTACCCAAAAGTCACTCTTACAGGACAGTGGGAATTATGAGGAAGGAAAAGGCACTTAGGGAGCAAGGAAACAAGACAGTGTAATCCTTTTCCAGATCTTTCAGGGACTTGCTAAGTGACTTTGGGAACCATTTGATCCCCTTTTTATTATCACTTTCTTGCTTGGAACATGGGAGGGTTATAATACTCAGCTCTTGGAGAGAGCTCTTTGTGACATCAAATATGAACATTGGTTGATGATGATAAAGAGTTTTAGGATCATCAGACAGAATGTGCAAAGGTGAAACAAACCAACATGAAAATGACAGTTTGTCATGACCAGAGCAGTTTGCCAAGGGTTACAATGCCTTGTTCTTCACTGTAGATTGTACATTGCCTCCTTTCCTAACTTGTATACTGTAGTTCATACGCGGCTACTGGACCAACCTGGAATTAATCACAACAAATCCTGCATTCTACTTTTATACTCAAGGCCAAATTAGAGGGTCACAAATTAGAGGCTCTGTTCTTAAAATATGTTCTGTTGCAGATCTGCCCTGTCACCTAGGTATATTTTGGAGCAGGTTTGAATCTGAAAGAAAGATGATCTGCAGGAGTATAGAGCACAGGGAACATGAACTAGAACTAAGAAATCCTTTAAAAAAGCAGCTGCTATTTTAAAATATGCTCAGCGTGATGAATTATGAAACTAAGCATTACAAAACATTACTGAAAATGTCACTATCTCATTTCCAATGACAGTTTTTGGTTCCTCAGACTTTGTTTTTTACTTTAGCTCTGAAATTGTTGTTCACATCTAATTATGAGGTGTTTTTTACAGGGCAAAGAAGCAGGGAAAAAACTCATTAATTTGGCTCAACTTAAGTCCTTGACTCAACCCAAATCCTTGACTCAGCCTGAGCCCTTGACTCAGCTTAAGCCCTTGACTAAACTGCCAAGGAGTGTTTTGCTAGATGAGATTGATATGAAGAGAAGATCATCAACACTTTTAGCATCTACAGAAGGACATGGAAGGAAGGTAAATAATACATGTTTCTACAAATATCTTTGAAGAGAGATAAAATGATCTTGTGGAAGGGGGAGTTTGGTTTTGAATACTGCTGTCAGATGGTTCTTCAACAACTATTCATTCTTCTACAATTAGCTTTGCTGTTGTAAGTTTACCTACCTTACAGGTGATTTTTTTTGTTCTTTATTAATTTTTTTAAGATGTAGGTTCTGAGTAGTATTAATAGCTAACAGAATGTTAAGGTCTTATGGTGTATAGATTAAAAAAGAATCTATATTTAAAGATAAATTGAATAAAAGGTCGTTCAATTCTGGAATAACAAGCTTTTCATTATTTGTGAAATTCGTATCCTGAAAGAATTTGGTTTAGGCTAGAATCCTGTTCTGGTCATATGTCAAAAACTGAAGTTGAACTCCTTTAGAAAATCTAGGTATTTGAAAATCTGGCAGCAAATACCACTTGAAGACTTCTTCCATAATGACTCTGACCATGCATCAAATCAGTAGTGAAAAGGTAACAGTTATTTTACTGGGAAATAGGGAAAACAAACAAGCTACATTGGGCATATCAAGGGATCATTCATGGCTGAGTTGGCATTGCCAGAACATAATAGGGAACCTGTGCAACCACATAAGCACAGATATGTCATGTGAACTGGGAGTAAATCACACTTTGGCTACTGCTTGTATTCCATAGAACTCTTCCCATGACATTACGGTAGTGAAGAGCAGAATATAGGAAAAGGTACTGTGAAATACCCCCAAAATCTGAAACCACAGTGTGAATTGCATAGATAAGCTTACGCTCTTACCCTTAAGTGGACCTTTTTACTTTTGCTCATACCTATTTAAAAAAAAAGTGAGCTGAGTGAGCCAGTACATCCCTGGCATACATTTAAGCCCTCAAGAAGAGGTAGAATAAACAATAATATTTTAAAGGGCAGTTTGTTCTTCCTTCTGCAAGCCCCTTCCTACTATAGGAAGGTGATATAAGTTCTTACTGAACCATGATATGACAAATTAGCTCCAAACTTCTCATGCCATAAGAAAAAAACCTAGCCAAATAAAAGTGCAGTTCTCATCCTGTTTTGGAAGAGAAACCTATTATTTACATGCAGTCTGAACTGTGGTTGTTTTCTTTAAGAGCAGTAGTTTATCTTTAGAAAAGGAAAAGATGACATCTCCAGTTGATCTGCCTCTAGTGGTAGCAGCATTCTGCTGGAGAGGGCAGGCAGAAGGAGCTGTGAGGCTAATGAGACATTCATGAAAGGACATAAGCTAGAAACAGCTTTTCTTATATGCAACAAATCAGTTGCTGGTTTGGGTTCATGTCAAATAGAGCAATCATAGTCCAAGAGTAGGACTAAGTGTGTAGCATAGAGATAAAATTAAGTCCTTGATAGCACAAATGATATTTTGGGAGGGTAAAGATCTGCTGCTTTGTTTTTGAAGAAGAAAGGAGAGAGAATAACACTCAGACAAGGGATGGAGAATAAATATAAACATTGTATCTGTCAAACTTGCTTAAATCATGGTGTTTTGAGATTTACTTACTCTTTCTCCCATTATTCCAATATTGTAATGAAAGAAGATCTTCTTAATATTTGTAATTATCCAGTAATAGGAATATAATATAAACAAGTTTTTTATCTTATTGTTGAAATGGATCAGAAACTACAGTGATATCACCTGGATGTTTTTGATGGTTCTTGCAGGCTTCCTGGTCCTATTCCAAGTACATAGAAGCCTTGGAGCAGGAAAGAATACTTATCAAAAAGCAAGAAGATCTGGAGAAAACCTCATCATCATTCCCTGCAGGTTGTTAACCAAGCTCTGTAGTTTAGCAGGATAAGTTTAGAGCTTAGGTGAAATTCTTGCAGTACAAGGAGTTTGTTTGTTCTTCTTCTGAGTTGTGCACAGAGACCTCTGCCTCTCTTTTGCTGTCTGTAGGGGAGTTGCACTCTGTGCTGTACTGACGAGTGGTGTATTTCCTAAAGAGAAAAAGTAAAAGTGGCAGGGTATCTCTGCACTGCCTTTACAGCACAGGTCCCACTGCAGAGAGGAATAAAGCCATTTCTTCATTCTACAGTGACATGGCAATCACATACACATTTCACCTCCTTGGCTTCTTGTGCTTCATCAGCTTACATTTAAGCAGATACTGAAACATCTTCCTCACAGTCTGTCAGTATATTTTTGGAGGATGTGGGAGGCATTGCTTCATCCTCGTTTCAGCTGTGAATATCCTTGTAGGTCTTTGCCAAGGATATTATGACCTGTTTGTTTATTTATTAAAAATATCCATTTAGTAGTAGGGCTGGCAATAGCACTAGGTAATATTCAGTTCCTTCAGTTTCACATAATTTAAATTTTTTTTACATATGCAGGTTCCTTGTTTATATCCTCCCTGAAGCCTGAAAGTTCTGTAAAAGCCACCATTCCTACAAAGACTAAATTCTGAATCTTCCGAAGAAGCAGAAGTGAGTAGCAGACTGACAACAAGTGTGCTTTGAAATGTGAATTCTTAAAAGCTAGACAGTGCTGATGCTCATTAGTAGTAAGTTATCCTGCTCCAAATCATGTTTAACTGAAGCTGTACAGCCTCCATATGAAAACAAGCTTATTTTTCACGTCAGCCATGGTTAGCGGATCTAATGTTGACCAGATGGAATTTTGTTGCAAAATGGCAGTCTCTCAAATTAGGTTATCTAAGCTTTCCAGTTAAGATATTTTTAATAGGAACATGAGATGACTGGAAAAATCTCAGACCCTATGAAGTTACTGTCAAGAACCTGACACAGAACTAGCAATAGATCACCTCTGCCAAAGCCAATTAAATATTAGAGTGAGAGAAAGAAGTGGGGACAGAAAAAAAAAAAAAAAAAAAAAAAAGATAAGGACAGAAAACCAGATTTTGCTTTAAAGCTTAAATTCCTAGACGGAAGAATCCTCGAGAGGTTTGGGATTTTTGGGGTTTTTGTATTTTTATCCTATGTTGAAATTAGGTGGACTTAAAAAAACTAATAGGACTTGGAATATTGCTACCTTCGTTCTCTGCTCCTCCTTCTTCTTCTAATTCTGTACTTAGCACTGCTCTTTTAGGCAACTTGGTGTCTTGCCCTCACTAGTCCTCCTAAAATTTCAAGTGTCTGAACATAATCTTCCTGTGGCAGCATTTTCTGAAAATTATTTCAGAGAAAACTGCAGCATTCCTTGGTCTTCCTTCCCAGTCTCTTTCTGCCCTCTTACCATGTCCTACAGTTGCAGTTAAAGCAATCCAGGAACTTGGGGCCTCATGGGCCTCACGGGTGTGGCTGTATTCCACACATCTTTGCCTTCTGCACCACTGCTCCCCATGGAGTCCTGGCGCAGGGCCTCTGCTCCTGCTCTGTGGCTGAGAAAGCTCCAGCTGGGCCCAGTGACCACAGGGACCACAAGGCACCTTCACCCCTTACTGCAGCCCAGCCCAGCCCAGCCAGCTCTGGCCTGCCCTGGCTATTCCAGACCGGAGAACTGCACTCCTGTCAGGTACCAGGCTAACACAATTAGAAAGTTGAGGTCTCATGTGATTTGAGGGGTGTCTCCTACCAGCTTCAGTTGCAGTCCACTCTCCAATGCCACTGTAAATTTGCCTGTCACTATCCTATAGTGACAGATCTGATCACTCTGCTGGTACGATGAGACACAAGGGCATGAATGCTCTTGATGGGGCATCTTCCCTTCAGTTTGTACTAGAGCAGGTCACACCAGGTCTATTTGGGATAAATGGAAAAGCTGGCAGCAGGAGGCCTGTGAGAAAGGCCAGGGCTGCCATGTGCTGGGAACAGCCAGTCCCAGTTGCCTCCAATGGACCCATCACAAGACATGGCTGATCCCTCAGCCGAGACGGTGGCACCTTGGGGAAACACATTTCAGAAAGAGCAAAGAAAGACAGAGAGTGAAGGAAAAAATAAAAGGAGTGGTAAACAACAGAGGGAACACCAAGGGCAGAGGAGGAGGTGTAAGAGGGAGAGGTTAAAGAGGAAGTTGAGGAGGAGGAGGTGCACTGTGGTGGAGCAGATATTCCCTGCAGCCCATGGAGGATGGATGCTGCAGCAGAGGAAAATAGTGAGAAGGAAGAAGGGGCTTCCCAGTGCCTCACCAAAGGGACAGAGTGCAACCAGCAGTGATAACAAGGAGGGGAGGAGAGGTGCTTGGAGTGAACTTGAACCTGGGAAACATGGAGGAAAAGTGTTTTCTCTAAATGTGTAAATGTTCTTATTTTCTTTCCCTCTCTCCCCCACAACCTGAATCAGTAATGATTTCTTTTAATTTGCAATAAATTGATTTCCCCAGTTTGAGCTGATGCATTTATTGAAGAACTGTTCTGATTATTCCAACTGGCTGAACACAGTAATGGCATTTTGTTACCTTTTCAGGCACATTAAAATCTCTCTGAGGAATGGAATGCAGAGATATTCAATGGAGATGACCAGGAGACATAAATGTAATGTGCATGCAAGGTTTGTTCTTACAATTCTAGAGCAAAGATGATGACTTGCAATATTATTAAGAACCATGAGATCAAGGCTAGAAAATAAACATCTTCCAATGTGTTCCATTTCAACCTTATTGTGACACTGGCTCTTGTATAAATAATTCAATAATACACCTTGAGGCTCAGATCACGGTAGGATTCCACTGAAGTATGGATGGCACAAACTATTAGGTAGTCTCCATCTTAAACATCTTATAATCAAACCCAGTTCTTCAGTGCCTGATCTAATGAGTAAGTAAAACACTGCCTTGAACTGAAAACCCTGAAGCAGGGTGTTTTGACACACTGTGCTCTCACTGTGCAATTCACACAACTTCTGTTCATCGAGGATAACACATGAGGTCTCCGAGTTATTATAAATCCAAATGCTCTTGTTTCCTCCCAATTCAATCTGATTCCTGTTCCAAAGTTCACCTTCTGTCTAATTTCTGAGTTTTGATCCACAAGAAAGGCTTAAAATCTATCAGGACAGAGATAAGATTGGGACCTTCTATACAATATCATTAGTCCCAAGGCATTACTCAACAGAAGGTTGCAGGAGCTCATAGCTCTTGTGTAGCTCTCCCTGCTTCTAAAAATTTTTAAAAATACTTGGGGCACAGTTGATGTTGGGGACTAAGGACCAAGGATTAATTGAGAAATTAAGAGGGGGTAGGGGAAGAATTAACTACCAGGCAACAGACAGGATGATACTAGACCTCTCCACATTCTTCAGACCTCTTTAAAAACCAGTCCCCAGCCACAAAGCTGTTGGCTCCATTCTTCCCCACATGTGTGTAATGCATGTAAAAGAAAGGATGATGAGTAAGCTCCAGTGAGCTCAGTTCCCGAGGATTAGCCCTGAGTTAGGGGGTCTCTGCTGGAGTAAGGCTGGCAAGGAAGAAATACACTTTCTTTTATGGATGCACTTTTCTTTTATGCCCTGATCATATATTCTCACAGAAGGAGAAGGGAGATTATTGGTTCAATTCCTGCTTTGTTCATGGTTCAGAGTTTGCTTCATGCTTGTCTGCACTCATTCTGTGTTTGAGTTACCTGAAAAATATGTTTTTGGTGGAAGCTACAAGGGAGTAAAACACAAAATACGTTTTCCTAAATGTCACAAATGCAGTCAGCTTTAATGTTCAATATATCTGAGGAGGTTGGAATGCAGCATCTTGTAGTGAGCAAAGCACATGTGGTACTGTGTGGCCTACCGCTCATTAATGTGAAAGGCAGAGAAGAATCATGAAGTGCCATAAATGCAGCGATGTATGTCACCCAAAAAAGCACATGGAAGGCCACCTTCTGACTGCTGTGGTCAGTACAGTGCACGCAACCAAATGCTGGAGTATGGCAGGCTGTTTATGTGTTGCTGAATTCTTCCCTTCATGGAATTTTGAGGCAGTTAAGTAATGTGTAGGCATTGCTTATCTTATGCTTGTGTTTCTGACATGATTAACACTTGGATTACTTAAAAAATTAAAAGTATTTTCCAGATATTTGTTACAAATTATAAAACTCCTTGTGAATGTTCCAGCCTTACCAAATAGTTAACACAAATTTACCAGCAAACTTGCAATGCAAAAAACTACTCGCCCAGACAGCTGTGATCATTGATATCATACATGTTAATGAAACTTAAAAAGAAGTACTTAATTAGTGAATAGAATTTTTCAGACTTGCCCTATTCACTCAAAATTCTGCAAACTGAAGTTTACTCTCATTCTAGTTTGCTATTCTGTCTCCAGGGTAGCTGAAACATAAGGGTGTATGTAGACACACATGCACTGTTTTATTGCCACGGCCATGTCTTCAGTACGCAACTGAGAAGGATCACATGTGTCAGTAATGCTAGTACTACATGTCATATCATTATTTTCATTTTATGTGTGAGTTTTAAAGAAATACTGGGCAATTGAACAGAGAATACATTAAGAGACAGGGACTGGATTTCTAGGTTACTGGATCTAATCTAATGCAATGGCAGATACCCTAGAATTGCTATTTGGTGATACACCAGAAATGGAATACTGGTTTGAGTCTCATCCCAAGGGACCAGTTCCAGCAGGGAGTCTGAGAACTGACTAAGTATTATTAGTGATTCTATATCACTTCAGAACACTTGTACTGCTATTGTCTTTTTGTCTTTCTCTTGAGATCTATTCTCTCTCAGGTTCCTGATTTACCACCTATGTGTTTTAAAGAGCTAGAAAAGTTTTTTCTCAACAACCCTAGCACCTCTGCCTTCAGACAATTAAAATTTATTCCTTGTTTATTTTAAGTACTTATACTTTGTAACACTCAGAAGTCTCTACAGCAGAACAACAGTTCTCTGGGAAGTTTGCTGTTACAGACAATAAAACCAATTCTCTTTTTCAGAAACTTGCAAACCTAGAAAACTTCTGGATAGATGTATGTTCTATTGGTGTTAAAATGCACAATGTAATCATACTCATTCAGACTTACTTTTGATGTTTACTTCCAATTAATGGACTGTAATAGTCGAATGATTAATTTGGATTTTTAAAGATGTAATTTAAATTCATAAATATTTACATTAAGATGCTATTACGATGTATTTCACTTTTTTCTCATCAGACCTGACGTTTATTAAAGCAATTTGTAATTTTTGAGAGTGCAGACCTGAAATTGCTCACTCAAATACTTTTACGGTCAACACAAGCTGTGATTTTGTGCTTCAGAAGGGGCTTATACATTTTGCTTTGACTTCTCTTCTGTTGCTGGATGACACAAAATAGACCATGAGATGAATTCCTGAAACTACATAGTGCTGCATTATGTTACTAGGATGTACACTTCTGTCAGTTTACAAGAGTGATAGTAGCCATGACCGGGCCATATAAAAGGGGCAAAGTGCTTTTTCCTTTGAGTCTGTGCAATGCTGCTCTGCCACTGCCTCTGTAATCATCACAATCCCTTTTTAATGGCTATTTCTTAAAGTCCTGTTAATGGGGAACTGTCTTAGACCATGAACTGTGGGTTCACTTGACTCCTTCCAGGTGTGAAAATCTGGTTTTTAGTCATCAGATATTGAGATCTGCAATGGGAAGAGGTGGTTTAGCAGATACAGTAGTGGTGGAGCAGACCCAGTTTCTCTTACTATACAGAATGGGGTGGCCAAGGTCACACTGATTTGTGCCACACCTTCATAATTTACATGAGAAGAATCATGTGATTCACTCTGCAAACATGTTTGACTTAAAAAAAAAGAGAGACCTTCAGTAATGAAGTCTACAGATAAAAGCATCAATTAATTGGATATTTTCATTGATTGGGGACCCTCAGTTTCCTGCTGTTTAGAACACTGAAAAATGGCAGGTGCTCCTTCATTGCTTCTTCTGTGCCTTTAGCACAAAACAGTGTTACAGGTACATTTGCCATCCTCTGCCTCTTGTATGCTTGTGAAATGGCCAGCCCCAGTCCCAACCAACACCATTGCCCTAGTCAAAAATGTTGACTTTAGCGTGTGTGTAAAAAGGATTGAAGAAAGAACAGATGTTTCAAAGTTCTGTTCCAAAATTGGAAAAGAAAACCCTTCAATTATTTATGTTTTTATTGTTAAATGCTGGGTCAAACTGATCACTGTGAAGCTGTATGTGGTCAGTGGAGCTGCCATAATCTGGTTTAAATTTGACCTATTTAAACTGTCCCATTACAGTCAACTGGTGATTTTTGTTACTACCTTTTTATAGAAATGTTTTTACTCAGCCATTGTGAATCATGTCTGAATACAGCTAAGATGGGGTTAACTGGTATTTTTTTAAGCTTATGGGACATTGTTGGTTTTAATACATTTAGTAGTTGCTGTAAAAATGTTAGGGAAAGACAGGTTTGAACAAAAATTTTAGATCTGGATCTGCATTCACAGTTCAAATCCACCTAATTTTGAGCACTTCCAGAATTTCACAGAGTTATAATTCACATCTGTGTTTCTAAGTCCTTCATGCATGATTGTCTGAATGTGCACTTTTGGAACAAGCCCATGTCTAATAGGCTAAATTGTAGTTCCCAAATCAGAAGCCACATGGTACTGCTACATAGTTTTCTTTTATTTTCTCCTCTTATAATGCAGCCTTCAAAAAAGGTTCTGTCAGTCCAGCAAATGGGATTATTACAAAACACCAAAGTCTACACTTTCTACATACCTACTATTGAACTGACATTTTTATTTCTACCAATGATTTAGTAAAGCATTTGCACAATGACCACAGTGGACAGTCCTCTGTCAAGCAATTATTTATCAGAGCACTGGAGCAGATTCGAATTATGCAGGACTCACTAAGCTGTCCTAGTATGGTGAAGGTACTTAAGGTAGAGATGAGATTCTCTTATTTTTAATACTCATAGAGTCAAGCTAATTTTTATGTCAAGCACAGGCTGTATTTACTTGGATTTTCCTCTATTTCTTTACTAATTAAAATATTTTAGTTTCATGGTAACATATGTGAAAGTGTTGACAACAGCTTTGCTTATTCCACATGTTAATTATATATTTGCTCAGAGTATGCTGATGAACTGTGTGCATTTCTCACGTTAAGATTTCATTTCATGTCAAAGGAAAAATGGGAATGTAGTAAGTGGATTTGTGCTTTTAATTTTAGATATTTCTTTTTGCTCTCAAACAAACTTGTACGATTCCTCTGTACCACATGTTTTTGAAAATCTTTTGTTGGCAAGAAGTTCAAGAAGAAAGTAATACTTGCTTCTCGGAATAGGATTTCTGAACAAAGCAAAGCAATTTTGCCGTTAATGAAACAGTTAAATGAAACAACTGACACAGCAAGCACGAAAAAGACCACAGCATCACACTCAAGGAATGCACAGGCACACAATAGCTTATGCAATATTCCCCATCTGACAAAGTCAGTAAATACAGAGATTTCCCTGGAATTATTCACTACAATAGGCCATGGTGACTATAGCTCAGTAAATGCAATCAACAAGCTTATAGCATTCTTAGTAGTTTTCATCCATAGACTCAATTCTCAATGGATTTCATCCCAGCTGCAAGACCCAAGCCAGCACTGGGTTTTTAAACCCCAGACTCTGCTTTGCTTGGATACCACTTATCATTCCTGAAAATGGTACTTTGGGAACTGAATTGATCACATCTCTAGAATAATTTCCACCCTCACAGTTTTATATGTGCATATGCATTTACAGGCATGTATACGTGTACATATATATATATATACACATACATACACACAGACACATACAATCAAACAAATGCATAAAATTACCTTCTTTGGTAAACTGTTTTACTATCATAATCACATAGGACTTAAGTTTGGTGTATATAATTTTTTTTCTAATACAATATTTCAACCATTTTCCTCTGTGTTACTTTTTTGAAATTAAAGTCTTTGTTTCATTACAATGTTTGTGTCTGTACTCACTTGCATTTGAGAAACAGAGCCCTTACACTTGCTTTGTTGAGGAATATGGCTCCTTCCAGAGGTCTGCATGGCTTCTGGAACGAGAAATAAATGCATTTTTGGGGAGTTCTTTTTCTTCTAGAAAGCATATGCAGGAAAAAATATTAACTTTTGCTGTGTTTTTTCTCTCAAATGAGAAAGTAATTAACAGCATGTGTTGGGCTGTTCACTAAAGACTACAATAAATTATTTACTATTTTCAAGCTAATGAAGTGAGTGCTTGATCTAAAAAAGGAGAGTGTGTATGATTATGTTCGTTTTCCAGTTATGACTTTCCAGTTCAAAGATCATCTTAACTCCTGGCTGCCCGATCCTGTAATTTGCTGAATGTATTGAAACTCGTTCTCTTAATTCATGTCTCCAGAGATGCTCAGCACCTGGCAATAGTAGGCCTTCAGAAAGCTGTCCAAAAGACAAAAACAGTGAATTTTTTTTGAGTAAAGTACCAGAAAAGCACGGCTTTGTCACTGGAGTTCCACATAAAAGTATATTAAAAAATAACAAACCAAAACAAAGAAATACATAGGTTTAGTTGGGCTTGCCAAGGTAATGTAGTACTAATCAGAGATTGTGTTCTAAGACAACAGTTAAGCATTAGAAACAAACTTCCCAGAGAGCTTTTGGTATCGTTATTGTCATCAGAGGGGCTCTAAAAACAGATAAGGTATGCACATCTGCCAGGAATGACTAAGTATGTTCAGACCTATACTGGGGCAAGGGAGTGAGTAGATGAACCCTTGAGGGACTCATGTTCTCTGAATCCATATTCAGGTTGTTCTGAAGGCAAAAGCTTAGCCTCTGCTAAGGCATCTTACGAGAGTCAAGGGCTGTGACACTTCATTTGCTCTGCACCCGAAACTCCCACTGAAGCCAATTATTCAATCTAGTTTAACAAAGACCACAGCTTCTCTGGCTGTGCAATTGTTGGTAACCATCAACAAACTGATTCATCTACAATTGGGCCAAATGTTACAAAATCTGTTTCTGAGTTCTTGTTTGTACCTCCATCATAAGATTACACCAAAATTAAAGCATGCAGTACTTGAACTAACTTCAAAGGCTGAGCTTGCACTTCTAGCTAGTTCAGCCTTTTTATTGGTTTATGTTTTCCATTTGGCTTCAACATCCTGTTCCTTACTGATGCCCTTCTAGAGTTTCATTTACAAATATTATGTCCCTGGTTAGTGAGCCATGCTAATTAATACTGTGGTGGGGGCTATGGATTATAGTAATCTCATGCCTCCTGCTTGGAAAAACACTGCAATTTTTCCAGACATTTACATGTAATGCCGTACTGAACATGGCCAAATTTGTTTCAGGAAAATGTATCCTGAAATCATTTAAGCAAAATATATTTAAGGTTGCTTATACTGTTATCTATTGCCAGTTTTGTTAATCATGAAGCTCAAAAGTTTCAATGCAGTAGAAAACTGAGACCCATAATTTCCTAATTAGATTATTTCAAACAAAACAGTAAAGTTAAAACAGGCTGGTTTAAGTATAGATATTTTCAAAAGTTTATGCCAATAACAAGTTAAAAAAACCATGAACTGATGATTTGACTACTTTCTAGGAGCCTCATGTCTGACTGTGCCTCACCTTTCAAAGCTGGGACCATAATCTGAGATGGATTTTAGCTTGTCTGCAGATTTTGTAGTCAGAAACTCCCTGATTCTGGGGACTTAAAATATTCGCAAGGTTATGATTATAAAGAAAATCAATTATATTTTCAATACCATCAAATATCAAATAGAAAGTATGAAGCCTTTGCAAAACATAGCAATCTTAAATTGGTAGATTCTTCCAATAACAAAATAAATGAAAGCAAAGACATTTCCTTAGGAAGAATATTTGACTAGACCAGGTAATGTAATTGGAAACAATGAATAAATTTTCAGGCTCACAAATAATTCACCAGATCATAAAGAGGTCAAGAAACATATCATCTCTGGGGTAGTTTTTATTTTACTTTTGGTTTTTAATTGTATAAATGAACTCTCTTTTCATAAATGGACATGATTTGATTGATGTGACTGCACTATGATGATACAAATCACAACAAATCTGAGACATCCTTCACTCCTTCTAGACTCTAATTTCAGGCACAGAAATGAAAAGTTGCCAACATCTCTTAACACTTACCATGTCATCACCTCAGTGTGAATTAAAACAGA